GTTTGTCCCAAATGGCCTCATGTTAAATATCTGTTTTCTGTACATGCACTGGTACTGGGATGTTTAGCCCTTTCAATACTTCAGGTGGTCTGTGTACATGCCCATATTTTACCATATTTTCCATATTGTAAATTAAATTGAAAATGAGTTCACAAATTACGAATTTAGCTATCATGTATTAAACAATGTGCTTATGTGTATGTCAATGTGTACAGTGATACAAAGGCATTGTACAATTATGATTGAAAACTTGTGTTTTGAAAATAATATGTGATAGATGTATCTTTACTTGACTATTTGTGAAGGAAAGATTAATTAAAAATATTACATTTGTATTGAATTATTATTTCCCACATTTCTTCTTCTATCTTCTGTGAGTACTTTCAATTATGCTCTCATGTCATCCTTTCTGCTGGTTCTCATGTAAAATGAAGTATATGTGGACTGCCCTGTCTTTTTATAGAGGAAGATACATGTTGGTATTGTATTTGTCAGTTGATAGCCAGAAAGGGCATCAATGAGTTTAACTCCATTTAGCTGTGAGTAGGCTATATCAGTCCTCTCTGTTAATAAGTGCTTTCCCGCTCAAATTGCTTTTTTTAATCTCTCCTCACTTTCAATCAAAGTCCACCATGTCTGATCACCCAGTGTAACATTTACTTCTATACTATGATACAACATGCCAGATTGGGTTGGATGTACATGCTGATATCTATCCAACAAACTCCTTTGGGTGATGTCACAGTTGGAGCAAAAAACAGTTGTTATAAAGCAGCACATCTTTGATCCAAAAATAGGCAACGGACATTTTTGGCCAAGTGACAGAATGTTTCTACATGCTTTTTTTCAAATTTGAATAAATTTGTACTTTTTTTTTTATTCACTCTTATCTCAAAAGGGATTAGTTAAAATACATCATGACGATGTTAGTGAATATGTTCGGTTACTTTGATAAACTCTTTTTCATTTAAAGGTCATGTAAAACAATAGGTAATAATTACGAGTACCGGTATTCAGATATCAGAATCTAACACCTAAAATTTGTTTTAGTTCCTGGAATAATGCTATAACACATGTTTCAGTGGTATTTCCAAGAAGTCATGACAGTTTCGAGAAACAGCCTCCTGAGTTTTTTTTCACAAACTATGAGGTGAATGTAAAGGAGCGTCTGAGGGTGCCCCAACCTTTTCTTTGCCAACATGTGCTCTGGGCTTGAGTTCATCAAAGGTATAGGTTCAGAATTAGGGTTGCGATTGTGTTTTAAATTAGGTTTAGGGTTAGGGTTAGTGTACAGGTTAATAGGTTAAGTGTTTGACCAGTACTGAAGTTAGGAAATTGGCTAGTATCAATGGACCATGTGTCGGTCATATAACCAAAGGCAAGCAATGATTTGTACCTTTAAGCCTGAGCTCTATCATCTACCAAACTCATCATGTCTCCTTAATGTAAGGAGAAGATCCATTATTGAACAGAAAGTCAGGATGATGTCACTATGATTTGTACGTCCAGTAATACTTGCAGCTGTTAGATTGACTTTATAGAACACCAATAAGAAATTAAAGAACCATGCATCCTCCTGTATGAAGAGGGGAGTCATGTGGTACGTGTGCTGCACTTGTGTCGAGGGTTTCTTAATAGATATTGCATGATTAATGCCAGATAGAACAACTGTTATGGTTTCGGGTTCAATAAATTGGTGTCACGACAGGTCATTTAGCTTTTAAGTAAGTGTAGAGCAGATTTTGTTGGGGATGTGCGTGTGGTCTTGTACTGTATCATACAGATGCTGATAACTAGTGTTGTCCAAAATGTGCTCACTGAAGGGTATGCGTGAGGTATTTTTTGTTATCATAATTGGATGTCTATAATTTTTGTTTTATTTTGGAAACTTAAAGAACTTTGAGAACTAATTTATAAAATTCATTATCTCACAGTAATATCTATTACAAGTCAAGTGCACTTTTACGATCGTTGAAAAACTACTATCAATTTGAAGTTATATTTTATATTAAGATCTAGAATGGAATGGATTCAATTTTTGATACGAGAATGAAGTACAGTGAAAATTTCTGTATAAAGTACATACTATAGAGGACCACTTTTTCTTGAACTGTTTTTAAAAAAATTGAAACCTGTACAAAGCAAACCTATAGGCCTTTATCAAGATCACCTAGCTTTGTAGTACATTTCTCTTGTTATCCTTGAGCGGTCTATATGAACACCTTTGACTCAAAGGCCATTTTGGTATATATTGAGACTGTTTATGGGTATTATATGGATTAAGATGATTCATTCTCATGAGAAGTGACCGGTATCCTCCACCTGACTTTACAGAGGTCAAATCTTTGTCAAATCCCCTCATTCTATTTCCAGTCTCACTGTCCTCTCCCTGCGTCTTGGTGATTTCACCCTCTTCACTTTGTTGCTCACAGCTCCCTCTCTTTTACCATTAATCAACCTAAAATGAGGCACTTCTTAAAATAGCCCAGACTTAGTCCCAAGATGAGGAGTAGTTGTAATTGGAACACTCTTAAGTCATAGGTAAACTGTTTAATTTTCAAGCCTCGTATTCCCTCGTCTATTTTCTGGGGTGATGAGATAAAGTAGGCTGCAGAAACCAAGAGCAGATGTAACAAGTTCGATGTGCATAGACGTCATTTTGGCGTGAAAGAGAATTTATAGACTGAATGTATTTTCCCTATAGAATGTTATCTTTTGAGGGTGCTGGGAAAATTAATGTGGAAGGCATGTGAAAACTCTCAAGTTGGCTGGTAATAAGATTAGGAAGAATAGGGGCAAAAAAGTGTCTTGCTGGTAGATGTCCATGCAGTCAATTATTCAAATTTCCTCAGGTAATCAGGTAATAATGAATTGAAATTGAATTATTATGAAATGATATTTACCTGGTAATCAAAATCATGTTGGACTTCTCGATGCATACCAAACTTGCAAAATAAAATATTTATGTATAACTTTATTTATTTTTAAAAATTTGACGGGAGTGATTCTGGCAAAATATTTTGGGTCCAATCGCACATGCAATCTGTTTCCTTGTCAATATTTTGGAGTCCCTTGAGTTATTGGCCTCTACCTGGATTGCTAAGAAAACATTGAATACTTTAAATAGCTATGCTTGCAGGGGAGAAGCAACCAGTGATTATACAGCTTATTACTGAAGATTGAGGGAAATAAGAATGAAGGGTGTAATGAAAATTGAAAAATTAATTTTCAGAGTACAATGAAAGCATTATGATACATAGAAGCTCTACAGCAAAAATCAATAATTATGTAACTTTTTTAAACAAATCATTCAAACGTACTGACCATCAGGGTCAGTGATTTTGAATGACCCATCTCTTTGATTGCTTCAAGGGACAGTACAAATTCATATTTTCTCGCTAGGCTGATTGTTCAAATTTTGCTTTTTCTGATTAGATTCTAGTAAACTAGTTTAGTTTTGTTGCTCTCCATTTATTACAGAGACATGATGATTGTGCGTTTCTGATGAAACATGAATCTCATATCCTTATATTTATTTTAAATTAAAATGAAACATACATGTATCTAACAATCACCCATTTCAGAGTTACTGAAGCTATTGATATCTTTCTCAGGAAATGATTTGCAAACTCATTGCCTTTCTTTATAATAGAAACTGGACCAATACAAACATAATATTGTCATGAACAGTTTCCAGGAAATACCATACTCTATTTCAAAGGTTTTGACTTCCCTGTGTTTTAATTAAAAACTCTGTTAGAGAGAAGAGAGAGAGAGGGAGAGAAATTTTAAGGAAAGAGAATTTATATTAGCTTAAGGTATAAATTGGCTAACAATCATTTTATATACCATACTAAGGCTGAAACATGAATTAGGTGGGACTATTTTCATTACTCGCAACATTTTCAATTTTGAATGCCCTCTTGTGGAATTTGTAAAGGAATTGTGATACTCTAGCTGTGCTGTTAATTGTGAACATATTCTTTACCTTGTGTTGTCAAACATTTCAACACTCTTCTGCTTTAGACCTGTGAGTACCATTGTGAGGATGTTTTATTTATATGTACCTTGCTAGTATGAAGTCTGTTCAAATTTTCATTTTTGCATTCTAGATTCACATGTCCTCGGTGAAACAGACTTGGATTTGATTCTTCTCTTGTGATAAAGAATTATGAGTTGTGAAAAGAGTGTATTGTTGCAGAGAGATTTTTATAATTCAGAAAATGATGCAATGGGAATGTAAGATGGAGAGAGGGAGAGAGAGAGGGGGATAGAGAGAGAGGGAGAGAGAGGAGGTAGAGAGGGAGAGAGATTGATTAGTGGATTGATTGATTGATTAATTGATTGATTGATTGATTGATAGATAAAGAGTGTAGTTATTTTACTGAACCTGCTATCCTGGAAATGTAGATCATTCAGTACCTTGCGACTGATCTATTCCCCTAGAATTATTCTTCTAGGTACCAGTACATCTCTGAATATATCCAAATTACAAAATCAGTCGTAAAATACAAGTGCGCCTCCTTAGGATCTCTATTCTAAGTTTTGCAGTTACATGCAGCAAAACCATGGCGAAGGCATGAAGACATTACTATTGGATTTCTGGGGAATGGAATGATGGCAACAGTACTAGTGCCCATCAGTGAACAGATATCCCCAACTGGATTATGCCAATATGAACTCTAAGATAAGAGCAGTTCTTCGGTATATACACCTATGTTGCATTTCTTACGTTGGTGATTTTGTGTGATACCGGTACATATTTTCTTGCCATGTTGTGGATAAGGCAAGATTTTTATATTCTAATGGAAGTGTGATATACATTTTCTTGCCAAGCATGTTCTGTACAAGGCAAGATTTTTATATCCTAATGGAAGCATTATACACATCATTATCTTGCTAGTCCTGTCTTAAAAGGCAAGATTTTCTTATTATAATGGAATTTGTTTTCATAATTCTTGATATATCATGGAATTCTTTACTTTCTTGTTGATCTCCAGGATGCGGAAGAAGGATCGTATGTCTTTCGAGAAGCACGGGAACGGTATGGCGCCAACATTCTGCAGGCCAGGTAAGCATATTTACATCATTGAGCCAAATTTTCATACCCTGTAATATTTTTTCAGCAATTCCAAGTACTTTTGTCCCCTGTGTTACCGACCACTTCTAAGATCGATTAAATCTGATGATTATATTAATTTCCAATCCATTCTAGAGATTGGATGGCACTGAGTATCAAGGAACGTGATACTTTTGTTGTCAATTATGCTCATAAAACTTGGTAACATACACAACACCAAATGGCAACATACCATGGACTTACCACTTTCAGAAAGTACGCTCTTGCATATGGTCAACATTACGACACTGTAAATCATCAATTTCTAGTTGTGTGGTATATAATTTTATCCACAAATCAATTCCTGTAATAGTTCAGACAGGAGCAACATGAGTAGACACTGCTAGTTCCACTTGTTGCTTCTGAACCTAATCATTTTAATCAATGGATCCTACAGTTCTAGCGTTACTTTGACTTATATGCTCCAAGGGTCTTTTCATCATCAGAGTGACTTTAGGGCTCAGGATGTGATTGTGTTTGAAGTTGGGTTTAGGGTTAGGTTATGATTAGGTTTAGGGTAAGATTAAGGGTAGAATATAGTGTTGGTGAAGGGTTAGATTATGAATATCAATTAAAGTTAGAAATCGAAAGTGGAGCAATTGTCTTGGAGGATACGACTTACATTTGATCATTGGAAATACATTGCAATTAGAAGTGAAACTGCTTGTAATTGGCTCTATGGATGTCCTTAACATTATGCAATGGTAAATGGGAAAATTCCCTGAAAAGAATAGTCAGGATATATTGTGATATTTCTCAACCTCCTTGCCATTTAAGACTATGTGCATTTCATTGCACCTTAATTTTGTACATGCTAAAAATTTGCATATGTGCATTTCAGCAGTGCATTATCACTTATAGCCATGGGTTACCAATTTTTGATGGGAACTTTTTTGCACAGTAGGCATGGTAGGAAAGAATGATGCTTGGTCACATGGTGTCATTTGACCAATTAGTTTGCCTACATTCTTGAACCTGTTTCATAACACTATCTATTGCTTCTTGGTACATATTAATTAGCACAGGTGGTCATTGGGTTAATAGTGTTTGTTCTTGCTTTGTAATAATTCAAATCATTTAGAAATTTGGTATTTCACAAGAATGTGGAGTGTAACTTTTAAAGCACTTTTTACTGGCACATAAAAATAAAGCAAGAAAAATTGATATTCGTGAGAAAATATGTCATAGCCACGTGATAAAGTATGAGGCTGTTCTGTTAAAAGACATCCACACATATTTGCACGTATGTATCTAACGGGCTTCCTTGAAATGTAGCTGGTACTTATGTTAGCAAGCCCTTTATAATGATGCATTAAATAGTACCAGGCAAAAAAGGTTGGTTTTGTTATTGATGGCTGCTGAAAGAATTTCCCAAAAGTATAAAGTTGGCATGATTGCTCTAAGTATGAAAATAATATGATCTAGGATATGAAAGATAAAACCACTTGATGAACTTTCATGATGCATATGTTAGAATTTTAATGTTGAACCAACTTTTATAGTTTTGACATTACTTTGTTATGGGTATATTACCCCATGAGTGTCATCATAGAATTTCATACAATTTACAATGAGAAAGAACAAAGTAATTTCTGAGTTAGTTATTCCACCTTCTTAAGTTTAAAGGTAATACAAAGTTTTGGGAAATTTTGAAAATTGGGTGGATAGTGATTCTTTACTATTTTGATATATTTGGATGCCCCTGTGAATGTATTATAAGCACTAGAAAATTTTGCCCCTGAAACACTTCTGCTTTCGAGAAAAATGGAATCATTTTTTTTTTACCGGTGCTCCCGTTAAATATTGATAAATTTCAAATAGCACCTATACGGCCGTACAATGGTAGCTGCGACCATGAAAATCTCAGAATATGTAGTTGTGATATATAATTTCCAAACGAGAATAGCTAATCGGTCGATTTTAGTCAAGAATCATTGTTTTATAGCTTAATTAATATCTTGACCTTGAGAGGGAGCTATACAACATAAAGAGTTCATTATTTACAATGTCAAACTTTAGACTCGATTTCAACCGTGACAACGATCACTGAATATTGTAGGATCGCATATGCTTCCAAAATGTTCATTTGAACCAAATTCATGACCCAGTAATAAAACTTTGTATTACCTTTAAAGCTAAAGACCAGTTATGGTCATGCAATTGCATAGTGAAAGAAACGTTGTGGAATCGATCAGAAAAGGTTGATCATCTAGCATAGATGTACTGCAAGGTTCTGGAATCATCAAAATTATAAGAAATTTGGCCAAGTCTTCATAAAGTTAGAAGCACTGTACACAGAAAGATGCATATGGGACTACACACACGTGCGCGACACGTGCATTTGTATCTCTCAACAGTATATAGGTATACTAATTGACCAAATATATCAATTAGCCGGCGGTTTCCCGTCAAAATTTTTATCGTCATGTAATATTCAAAACATATTCTTTCACATGATTGGTAATAAGAGCTTCCATTTCATTTTTTGAAATTGGGGAAATTATTTTGGAAATATTCACTATTTACATGTTAGACTTTGATTATTTGTAGGCTGTAATTATTAATTTTTGTCCTTCTAATTTCTGACTTTCAGGGCATAAGTGTCATGTACATGCTTTGATTTTATTATTTGCAAATTTCATTTAACTGAAACACTTTTGTCAGTGATATTTGGTTACATCCATAACTGCATGAAGCTAGTTAAACAACGGATCTTAGCTCTCAACATGATAGTTCAGGATGTCCCTCATTAATGCTCACCTGCGGTCATGTTGCAGAATATTTCTCCCCCACTTACAATTTTAAAGGGATAGTTGAGTTCTTGTTTCCGACCGCAAATGCCTTCAAAGTGCATGCTTATTCTTATTTATGACATTTCTAGTGCTCTTTTAGGACCTAAAATTGCTATGAAGGTAATTTTAGACCCGGTAATGTGTCTATCGTACCAATTCAGCTCCACTTTCGAAAAAATATGGTGACCATTAATTAATTAATTAATCAATAATAACAATACACAGGTATACACTTTTCTTTTATACAAAGCTCCCATGGTTATCCCCCTTTTTGTTATACTGTACCTTGTTCACATTTTTTATACAAGTTTAGTAAGAATTTCCTCTAGTGTGAATGTCCCGTCTATGTCCTCCAATGTGTCAAGAAGTGAGTCTTAGAGACAACCTACAGGTCTGCTCTCTTCCTGGTGCTGTCTTTCATCATGATATTTCCCTTGTCGCTCAATAATAAACTTACCAAAGGTGAAGAAGAATTCAAAATCATGAATCATGATATCTCTCCGTCAGCTTGAAAATGGCTAAATGACATCTGAAGGCTTTCAATTATCATGATTTTTAAAAAATCTATGAGGAAAACATTTTCATATTGTTTTCTCATTTTTAAAATGGTCATTTAATTTGTTAGTATAAAAGATGTGATACAATGATTAGACATTAATGAGAACTTTATTTTTCTCTCTTTTCGATCTCAGTCTCATAATACACATTGATTTGATTTGATTTGATTTTATTTATTCATCATCAATAACATCAGTGATTAAACATTTGAATACATCGTGAATGGTACATGTTCATAAATGAATATTATAGATCATATTAAAGAAAAACCTAACAAAGTATTGATATGCTAGACATATGTCTTTTCTCATAGAATATAGAAGGTGATGAAAAGGAGCCAAATAATAGCACATGTGCTAGTCGAGTCTGGCCCCTGTTCTTAGCACACACTTGGCAAAAATAAATATATCATTATCAAGAAATAAAACTTGACAGTAGAAGTATACATGTATCAAGTATCATAATACACATGAAGAAGAATTCCATTGCAATGGGAAAAAACAATGTATTTCTGTCATTTTCCTTCTCATTTTGATATTAATAACAACATAATGAAAGATGACATTAAAAATAAAATGAAAGCAGGGTATAAGATATCAATAAAATGTTTTGTATCCATTTACGAAAGCCATTTTAGCTTCAATTTTCGTAGGTTGCATTTATAGTCAAAAGAATATAGGCCAGCATTCTTAGAAATAGGAAATTTCTAAATTGAAATGATGAAGAAGAAGATGACACTTTATTGTCATGAGGTTATCAGCCATCACATTGATGTTTTCGGTGTATCCTTGGAACATTTTTTCTGCTTCAGTCCCACCAGTATGATTTAATGGGGGCCTGTTGATGATCATCTCAAACTGCTTAACGGTATCCTGCACTGCTGATCATGAGTCATTTGACCACATCCCCACAAGAGGGTAGAACAATCCTGTCTCCTCACTTTTCTTCCCAGCTTCCTATTCTTTTTTCCTTATTTCCTCCTCCAAACTCTTAGATTTGCTAACTCTGCTCCACCGTAGACCCTAGGTAGATCTGCAGAACATATTTTGACTAAATATTTATGTAACATTATTTTATTTCAAGGCATAAAGGAAGTGTCTTTAATCTGCATGCTTCACATTAATTATTGTTTTCTATCTGCCTTTATCTTGCTTCATCTAGCTTCTAGATACATAACTTGTATTTAGTACTGTATATGAAATTAGCACTTTGGTAAGGCTAATTTCTTTCATGTTTATTTGATTTATCCCCATATAATTTTTACCATATTAAACTCAACTCAACTTGTAACTATTTCAGGTGTTCCGTCTTTTGTATTCTAATATATTAGTGATACACTTTTTATTTTTTTTACTATACCGGTACTCTTTTCCGTACTTGTATTTGTATGATCCAATATCCATTCATTACTAGAAGTACATCTGTCTAACATCTGCAGGTTCATCCCTCATGGGGTGTATCACATTTGTTTTAACCTGCATTTTACGACCTTTAAAGAGCAGAAATAGACCCATCCTTTGGTTTGTTCTTGATACATCCCCTGCTTGTTACATGTCTATACAAGATTTGCTCACTCCTAATTGCCCCCTGTTTACTGCCCCATTCTCCTAGCCAAATACATCCCACACAATCTTAATTGTTTCTACTCTCCCCATCCTCTCAAGTCTCTGTGGGACCTAGTCCCCATTGTCTTCATGTTATTTCCATGTAAACCACATGACTTCTTTTCTTCCGTTCTTCACTCCAGTTTCCTTCAATCTCCTCACCTCACTCCTACCTGATTCCATCTTGTAACCTTCTCTTTCTATTTCCATATTCTTTCTTTCCTTCTATTTCTTTTTAATTCCTTTTCCCCTTCACTTTCTTTCCCCTCTTTTTCTCCTCTTTCCCCTCTTTCTTTTCTCCTCTTTTTGTTCTCCTCCCTGTACTTCTCTTTCCCACTTCTTTCTTTCCTATTTCTTTCTCATCTTTCTTTCCTCCTCTGTCTTACCTTCTCTTTTTCCCCCTTCCTCTTTCTTTTCATCATCTTTCTCTCCCCCTCTTTCATTCCTCTCATCATGACCTTTCGTTTTTGAGGATAGAGATTTTAATCACTTGACTTAAGATTTTCATCTAAGATTGAGAGCTCTAAGAAATACGATCGATTACAGCCATCACTGAAGAGCCTCGAAGTTGAATTTTAGACGATGAAGTGTATTTCTATTCAGTATTCATCACGCTGAACCTACTTGTTTCAATAAGTCAGAGCAACATTGTAGAACATTGATAAACCTATACCGGTAGTTTTATTTAAGTTTATAGACCAGTCAAGGGATTATCAATGGGATAATATCACAGGTCTTAGTATCTGCATCACTTTTGAAATGTGATGTTCTTTAATCATCACCATGACAGAAAAATTGAAGGTTTAGTTTTCCTCTTATAGGCTCCAGACATGATAAAATACTACTACCAATAATTATATTACATATATTAATGATAATTATGATACTGATGATGATGATGACGATGATGATGACGATGATGACGATGATGATGGTGATGATGATGATGATGACGATGATGACGACGATGAAGATGATGATGATGGTGATGATGATGATGACGATGATGATGATGATGATGATGATAGGAGTTTCAAAATGTTGAGATATATAGAGCAGCCATAGAGTATCATGCTATAATTCATTCTTTGTAGGTTTCAGTGGCAATTACTTTCAGGTTACTTGTGGCATCACCCTACACATTATCAAGATCAGTTGCTATTGTTTGCTCATCATCTTATTAATGGTGTATTCATTCAATTGAAATACCCCATTTTTTATTTCCCTGCTTTCTTTCCTCCATGGCAGAACTAAACTATCGTAAATGTTACAGATTTTTACTATAAAGCCAGATCCTTTGCAACATGAAACTTTTGCAATTTGTAACAGAGGAATTTCATGCAAGGACCTATTGAAAATAGAAACTTCTCGTGAAAATTTCGTATATATTTCATTCAAGTGAAAGTGTCTTGTTTTATAGCATTTTTTGCCAATCAATGCCTTAGAGTCTCAGTCTTGAGCGTAATTAATATAGAATTATCTTTTTATTGTAGAGTGTCCTCGTTGGCAGTTGATGCTGTTTGATTATAGAGGGAACACAACTAATTGTCAATACCACTCCACTTAACGATATATAGCAAGTCATTAAGAACGATGTAATACAAAGATATGAGAGTACTTACTGAGCAGGATATATGAAGAACTGTACTTGATAATGGTGCTTTTTATTATGCAAAGTTTGGAAAATGGCCAATTTTTCATCAAGCTATTGATTTGTTGTTTCATTAGAGAATAAATTGAATATGCAATGATTACATTTGTCTGAACACAGATTGAATAAATGAGATATGCCCACAATTTATAGCAATAAAAGACTCATAAACAATGGCTAATTGGCTTTGGTTGATTATTAATTATTTGAAAATGTACATACACTGATAAATCCATGCCATGTTAAAGTAAAAATAGATTTATACATACATGAATAAGAGCTACTAGTAAACTAAATTGATAAATAGATTTTTAGATTCAATGAATAAATTGTTTATAATTTTTGTTTTTAATTGATCTATAGTATTTTGATATGTACAATTTTAATCTTTTTATCTGTTTACCATTCTCTATATTATCTCTTTATTTCAACTTGTTTTTCTTTCAAATTCTGTCCTTTTTTAGATGATCTTGAGGAGCCAGCCATTCACATCAGTAAATTTGAGAGTCATGTGATTGCTTGCCATGCCAACAGCGATGGAGGATTTGCAGCTGAATATGAGGTAAGTCTCCATCAAATGCAGTGAAACCTGTATAGAAAGACCACTCTAAGGAGTACCAAAGACGTCAAAGTCCTCTGCACATGTTCTTCCAATAAATGTGTACATATACATATAGTTCATGTACATAGGGTCAATACTCAATAGGAACTAGAAAAATGCATGTACATGTAGCATCTATGGATAGAGAATAATGTTGGACTCGTTTGCAGGAACAGTACTCTTTGTATAATACATTTAAATGTACATGTACCTGCAAATATGAAGGGGTAATTACTCAACCACATTATTTTCTAAATAAAGGGAAGCATTTTCCAGGATATACACCACAAGTAGGGAAACGTTTGTTCATCACATGCATGTTAATAATGAGTTTATTTTTTAATGTAATGAGAAGAAGCATTTTATTCGGTATGGATCAAAGTTAGAGCAAGGAATTTTGGTAATACCTTTATAAGGCTATGCAAGAGTTTGTTGCTTGTGGTATTTTCCAGTCATGAAACTCCTGTAGACACCTAGGCCTTGGGAGAAGGAATGAGACATTTGTCTATTTTTACCAACATTGATGTGACTATAATGATGTCTAGTACTGTCTGCTCTTTCTGTTTCATTCTCTGGAGGAATTAGAGTCTGTCAATCATCTCTAAGACAGTTCAAGGTGGGATGTTAAACTCGTTTGATCAGGGAGCTCTCACAATGAGTATACATTTTTAAAGCTTTCTTAGTTCCGATAAGACAAGTGTACACCATGTGATGATGAAAATGAGATAAGGGATTAGAGAAATATTTTCTACTTCTTTTTTAGGGGGGGGGGGTGGTTGTGGTTTTGAACATTTAGAATGATTGGGGTTGGTCGAACTAAAATTTTCTGCATGACTCAACAACTGGCCTAAGCCTGTTCATATTATTTATTCTTCTCATTCTCACATGAGCTTATTAGCCTTCATTCTTCTCATCTTATTAGGCAGTGAATACCATGCAAATTAAAAAGGAAGAACAAAATTTGCCCACATTTTCCTGTCTCTTTTCCACATTTTTGTTGGGGATGAGGTAGAAGGACAAAGTTATGATGGGTTTGAAGCTTAAGTGATAGGAGTGAGTGGTATAAAAACCGAGACCACAACCGGCCCAATATGGCAGATGGGGCACTAATCTAATCTACCTGACTGAGGCACAACAGTCTTTATCCTCCCTTTGCTCATCCAGGTATGGTCACAAGTAGGAGAAAAACTGTGACCATTTAAAAAAAAAAAGTGTTGATGAGAATGATTCACATTTAAACTGAAACTACAACTGGCCCAATGCATCCATTAGGGCGTTATTATCATTCTCATCAAGGCACATCAGTCTTTATGCTTTCTTCACTCAATCTGATATGGAGTTTTAATCGTAGAGGAGCAAAGCTGTGATCAGTTTAGAAAACTATGAATAATGATCATGATGAACATTAAAAGTGAGACCGTAACTGGTCTGATATGGTGCACAGGACTAGTATTATCATTCTAGATGAAGTGCATCCTACATGTATCTTCACTCGATAAGATATGGGCACAATTAGTGAGGAGCAAAACTGTGACCAGTTTAGAAAACTGTAAAGGATGATCATGATTGACATTCAAAGTGAAACTCAGACTACATACCAGCTCAATATGGTGCATGGGGCAGTCTTTAAAGATCATTCTAACCGAGGCACATCAGTCGGTTTAATACACAGAGCAGACTATAGTGATACTCATGATAGCCATCTGATGATCACAGTAGGAAGGGCACGGAGGAGGGTGAGGGAGGGAAGGGGAAAAGGTTGTCATGGTAACCCACTTCTGAATGACGCACAAGCGAGTCCAAGATCTTGGGGGCAGGCAGGCAGGCAGGAAGAGGATCATAGGGAATGTTTAGTTTGTGTGTATGGTGATGGGTTCTTTTCTGGAAGTAGGACAAGTCGAGCTCTGGCATTGTGCGAGATTGTGGGGGAGATATAATATTCTAAGGGTAGTGTGCTAGATGTGTATAAAAGGATCTCCTATTTAATCAATCAAATATTCATACCGCCCATGTTGTTTGTTGATATTTAAACATTTATCTGAGGGGTTTTTATGTTAGATCTAAATGGGTAATGATAACTTTGACTTAAAGCTTGATACGCTCAACAGGAATATAGATGATGGATTATACTTTATGCTGAAAAATGAAACATGATTATTTCAGCCAGTTTGGTTATTGACTTCTCCACAGGATTTTTAGGCATGTCTCATAGAAAAATAAGAAACTTATCAAGGTAAATGCATGTAGGATATTGACACAGAAGTAAGTTGGCGTAATTTTTTAATGCAAGGAAACGGGTTGTCTCAAATGGTTTAATCACATCAGGACTTGATTTTGGCTCTAGCTATAAAACAGAGGATATCAAGGCAGGTGATATAATGCATTTAATATGGGTTTCTAGTCTCACACCTAAGTTCCTGTAACCTACAAAAGTTTTGAGGGTAAATGGGTTAGAGAAATAAACTCCAGTGACTCTATAGTTTGCTGATTAGATCATGGCCTGTGGCCTGGTGACTGATACATGGTGGATTATCACTCTCGAAAAATCTTCAGAGCGGCTAGGTTCGGAACCGGTTTAGCCTTTGAATCTCTCTCACACCCTCCCGCTTGGATATGCCGGCTAGCTTCAGCGGTACTTCCCATTTCCTACCTGTGTCCTCTCAGGTGGAAGATAGCCATCGATTATCATGAAGGTGCGTGCTCATGGCACAATGATGCTGCAGATTTGTAGTGTTGTAACTTCCATTTCATATGATAAAAAATCCATAAACAGATGACCTGTTTTGCCAGGTAATTGGAGCTTGACTACAATTTGACCATATTACCAGAAAGGGTCATCGGAAGAGACAGAGGTGGATACAGCGTGGATTAGAACATGATAGATTCAGTAGTCATATGATAAACACACTCATTGTCCAAGAGCTGAACATGAAACCATGTGTTTAAAGACAAACCCTTTGTCTGTAGTTCCGCCCTGTATGATCTAGAACAACCTCACTCACTCGCTCACTCCCAGGGTCCCTTCAACAAAAGATCATTCAATTTCCTCCTAAGTAACGAGTAGTGAGAGAGAACCTTCTCCTCCAATCAGCTTGGCTAGTGATCTAGGAGGGTCCTGGTAGCTTTACCCCTCTACGTGTTCATAGAGAGAGGGGGGTGTAGGACCCTGTTGTTGTCACACTTGGAGCGGACCTAAGCAACCGGTTTTCCTTTGGTAGTGATAAGATCTGGAGGGCAGGTGTGTCTTGAGAGGCAAGTGATCATAGATGATCAGACTAAAAGTAACAAGGGGTCTATTTGGAAGTGTGTGTGTGTGGGGGGGGGGGGGGGGTCATGGAAAATTATAGTGCCAGACTATGAGATTAAACCAACCATTCTTTAATTGTAATGATGCAATCTGGAAGAGAAATGCACATTTAAATGGTCAGAGTTCATCACGGTATTAGCTTGGAGATCACACTAAAGCAAATGGTGTTCCAATGACATTGATAGGGTCCCAAAGAGAGGTACAATGTATGTCTTTAGGGAGAATCAGCAGTCCTTATCATGCTGGAGTATCAGACCAAAGCAACCTGTTTTCCTGTTGCAATCATAAGATCTAGAGGAGAGGTGTGCCTTGAGCTGGTAATATGTTACTATGTAATACGGGAGGATCAGGCTGCAGGTGTTCTGACTGTAATGATAAGGTATGGAATAGAGGAGAGGTTTGTCTTTAGGAGGGTCAGAGGTCATCATTGTCATACCAGAGGATCTAGAACTTATAAATTTGATCCTTTCAATTATTTCCATCTGCAAAATAAGGCTTAAGCAACCAGTTTCCCCGAAGGTACATGTAATGATAAGAAATACCGTAAAGAAGTTTGTCTTTAGGAAAGTTCAAAGTTAATCCCATTCAGTCTTACAAATATTTGACATTGCCAATAATCATTGTTTGTTTCTTTCTTCTTGCTTTGTTATGTTTTACAGGAGATTCAGCATGTGCCTACGTCATTCCCTGCGACGTTCAGCTCAGACGTTGAAAACAAGCTTAAAAACAGATACACCAACATTGTATCGTGTAAGTACTTCTCTTAGGAAAAAAAACAACACTCGAATTACACATTTGGCTTATTATCATTTGCTCAGAGCCAGAGAGGCATTAACTCAATGCAATGGGGTGCAGAGCTAACACCCTTCTGGCTTTCGAAATATGATATGTGCAACATATATGATCTCATCAGTCAATTTATCTTCGTATTTGTATGCATTTGGGACAAGAATGCAGCATCTACGCATGTATGAACCCTTCATGTAGCGTACATGAGTCCATACTACAAGCAACTGAATTTCAAACAAATTTGTCAAGTTAAAGAAAATAAATTAGGTGATTGGTTCACAGCTAATGTCAAGGATTGTATTTCTGGTTTCAAAGGAAAAAGAGAAGTCCTGCATGCAATTGGGTATCGAGATGATCATATTACAATCTTAGTCTTACTGGATACTTAAGTTCTCTTATTTGATTAAATTTCCCTTCTTTTTCATTGGAAATTTTTTTCATACTCATTTTACCCCACCTACAAACCTGTAAATGTGATACTTCAGTATCCTTTCGATTGAATATTTAGTGTTTCTATTTTTCACCATTCACCATGAATGATGATGTATATACAGTGTAGTGTTTTGGTATGTTATCCATTGTACAATGCCAATCTGTGATATTCTGTATTTATGGAAGTTATATATTTGTATGTGTTTGCTTGTAAACATCCCCTTGTGGACTCAATTCTTTATGAATATATATTAGGTCTGTACTAGCTATCCATTGTCTAGTATGACACGTCTTCCTTGTTCTTAATTAAAGATGTTCTGTTTTGCTTTCCTTGCAGATGATTCGTCCCGTGTTTCCTTGCAACCTCTCCCTGGCATTCCTAACTCGGACTACATCAATGCAAATTACATAGATGTAAGTAATATGTATTCCTTACAATGAACCAGTCAAGGTTTGGAGCATCATGATATAGCCACTGTCTTGTTTGATGATGACAATGTCCTTCTCTGTGGGGGTGAAGTGTAGCACATTTGTTTATATTATGCTGCTGAAGATATTGGTATTGATTCTTGTTTGAGGCATAGTTATTTAATCTGATTCAAGCCAGGAGTGTCAAGTCTGACAGACATGAGTGCTCTACAAGATCCCACTATTATTATTATTATTATTATAATCATATCAGAAAGAGATTGTATTGAGATCAATTCTCAACCTCATCAATGGAATCATTGAATTATATTCCTATAAGAGTAGATGGTCCTGTTCCGTAGAAGAATTGAAGAGACAAATAATTTTTACCCATTCTCTCTACTTGCAGCTGTCATTCCCCCTTTGATTAAAACTTTTTGTTAGACAAAAGCAAGCAAACTTTGACACCAATGTGATATAGTTTGACATTGACAATTAAAACCAACATTGCTTTCTTTTTTGTTTTGATTACATATTGAAACTGATACAATGTCACATAAATACAAAGGGGGAAACTCTCAAAGCAATTACGGTTTTTCAAAAAGTACAATGTGCCTCGTTTTGTATGCAAAAGCTGAAGGGATTCTGACCATGCAGCTCTTTTTTGCGGTCTTCCTGTATTAAGGCAAAGTGTTGAGGGGAATGTAATACATGTATAGTCAGGTTCACACGACAGTCAGTTAACTTTAAGTTTAGGTTGGTGGTTTTAAACTTTAAACAATACCTTCTAATTAGGACTGTGTGGACGTACTCATGGTCACAAAAGTTTAAGTTTACTTGAAGTTATTAACCACAAGTGATCTTAAGGTTATGTGCTGTACAGACACAATCAGCTTCAAGATTATGCCGGCTTGTAATTGAAATGACTGCTCACTTGGCTTAAAGTTTAATTAAAACTTTGAATAGTCGTTTTTGGATTATGTGAACCCTCGTCCTGATTAGTGGATCATTTTTTATAACTCGGAGGTTTCACTTTCTTAGTTCTAAAACTATGATGGTCCTGTGTGGACTGAGTGTCTGCCTGTAATGTAATCCGTTTGTTATATTTAGGGTAGAAATGGGCTACTTTCCTTGACACGATTACTGGGTGGAGTGACTGTGATCAGTCAACTCTGTCTGACTTACCGACTCCTATCCTATTGCAAATCTAGGCCAGCTAGGGTACGTGCAGGATGGGAAAATAGAATATCATTCAACCATTCATATACAGAGTGTACATACGATCTTAAACGTGATCTCAAACACTAAGAGTTACGGCAGGATGTTGTCTTAGGAAATCTTATCCCATGAAGATTCATAACCATTGTCCAACTTGGGACTTTGAATATAATGAGCCAGAATTAAAAGGACTGTGATATTTTCCCGATATTGCGAAGTACTTTCTTGAAACATATACATATTTTCAAAGAATGATCTCCCACTAGAGAAAAGGTATGGATAATAACAATTATAGTGCTCATATATATATTTATTATACCCAGTCCTGGCTGCTACTCATAGTAAACCATATCAATTGATAGATTGTAGGCAAGGCTTTTGAGTGGACTTTAACTAATCATGATTCTTATTCTCATTCTTGTTTGCAGGGCTTCAACAGACAAAAGGCCTACATTGCTACCCAAGGTGTGTGTTATATGGTACTCTGTGTAGTACACTTCATAAGAATATCCATTATTTTTTAAAACATGTCTTTTTGTGTCAAAGTACTTTATATTAAATGTGATATTACATCACCAAATGCAGACTTTGCGTTATATGCAATATTTCGTTCACATTTTGCTTGATGTAATGACATGATATAGTCAATCAATATTTCAGATTTCATTTGCAATTCAGTGTTAGAGATCTTACAATTCAGAGATAGAGACCAAAAAGTTATTATTCACTTTAGAAAGAATGAAAGAAAAAAAAAGAAACCTACAAATGTACAGAACTCCTCCATGTTATTCACATGAGACTTTTACTTTTCATGATTATATATTTGTTATTTAGAATGGACATATATGTGAGTGTATGAATATATTCTTTTTGTACTTACAAACAAAATTGCTAACTTTTCCACTATCGTAGGTGCACTGAAGACTACATTTGATGACTTTTGGCGCCTGGTATGGGAGCAGAAATCAGTGGTCATTGTTATGATTACAAAGCTAGAGGAAAGAGGAAGGGTATGTCAACATCGTGTATTGCACAGCGACCTAATTTTGGATTTGGCACACTCCTATGTAAAAGCCACTCCGTTTACATGGGTGTAGTATTTAGGGAGCTTCAATGCAGTTTGCAAATTCTATGTGCAGCAAATTATGGACTCCAGTATCATTGTATTGAGTAGTTTAGGAGGACTTTGTGTATATTTATTTGGTATAGAAGACTTTATAATTGCTGTTTTCAGGATATCTTTGGTAAAATTTACAAGCAATTAATAGAATACAAAGATTTTTTGAATTTCATATAAAAAAGGGGGTGGGAAATGTTTGAAAAAGCAATATCGTGTCTGCTCTCATTTGCCTTCTTTGTAATAAAAATTCAATGGTTGTCGAAATTGAGCTTAGAGTGAGGTCTAAGTTTTCTATTTGCCATCATAAGGTTTTAACTGAATTAGTAGAATATGAAATGTTTAGTTTTTCTGAATTGTACAATAGATCAGAGAATTGAGATTCAAGCTTAGATCATTGAAAGCCTTTTTTAAAATCATAACTTGTAATAATATGATACAGATCAAGGATGAAACCATTAAAAGAAGTGGCAACATGGCTTTGTAATACCTATAGCTTCCTAAAAACAGGGAACAAATCTGACATTTACAATTCAGAAATAAGGAGAGGTCCAGAAAAGATACTCTAACTTTGACATTTAAACCAGTAGTAATGATGATCATGCACAACTAATCATATTTATGTGTATCATTGTCTACACAATATTGGGTCAATTATTCCCATTTCCTCTTTAATTTTTCATTTTGCAGAGGAAATGTGATCGTTACTGGCCCGCTAAGGGGACTCCAGAGAGGTACAATGAGTTAGAAGTCACTCTAGAATTAAAGGAGAAGTTTGCCAGCTACACACTTAGAACATTCCTTCTCAAGCACCGGCACAAAAAGGTAAGAATCAAAATCAAATCAAACCCAAATCAAAATTAATCATGACACAATCGATCACAAAATTTATACTTGCATATTAGGATGATATGGAAAACTAGATTTATAATTGTGAGTGTTAAGAATGCTTAATACTAATAACAGATTATCTGTAACTGCTTCTGATTGTCTAATGAACAGGCATTTCAGTCTTACAAATCTTGTACATGATGATCGCAAGAATAATCTCTGCCGGCAATAGATTGATTCATTGGAGTTTGGCTGAATTAATTCTTTCTAACTCTACAATGCTTTCTGTTGATTGTCTGAAGTCTTCATTTATGGATCTCTTTAATGCCAATGTTGGATCAACAATTAAACAAATGTATCATGTATTACACATTTAGATATTTGATTCATAAACAATTGTTTGAAACAGAGGCCTCCCTATTAATCAGTGTGGGCAGTACATGCTTGTTCAATGAGGACTTAAAATCAACTACTGTGATCCAGTTGCTTCGATTTAAGAGGCCCTTCTTTTTGGTGCGTTACTCACACGATTTGCACAATGACAGTTTAATCCAGCTATTATGTTATTATGCTGATTAGATAATAAAGAAGGGATATATAGTACATGTCTAGAAGCTTTCCGCTATTATCATAGTCGGTTTTAAATTTTGACTTTTTTGTGGGGGTGTGGGGTGGGATAGGCGAGTAAAGATTAAAGCTTATTGGCTAATTTCTTGCCAAATAATATGTCCCAGTGAACTCATTGTAGATTAATGATATCTACTCTTGATAGATGATTAATAGAGAGCTAATCCAAAGTCAATTATCAACATTTATATTAATATTTAATTGTTCTGTTATGATATCTTAGAAAGAGAAAGTATTGTATGTAATCTATCTCTGAGTTAAATGATAAGTGTTTCCTAGAATGCAATTAACAACTTTGTCAATGATGAGGCATGTGAGAAAGCCACGGAAGAATGAAAGAAATAGTCTCCTTTGAATAGATTACTATAAACCTTTCTTACACTTTATAGCTTCTGTCGTATTCCTTACTACTGCAGTGTAGTTTCTCATCTAAGATGCTTAAGAAATAAATGTAATACATGCAGAAGTCCTTACAAGATATTTCTTCGATATATAGAAATCACAAACCAAAAAAAAAAAAAAAACTTTCCTTTACATGATTAATATTCTTACTAGTTTGAGAAAAGTGATTAGTACCAGACCTTCACTTACTTTATAATTAGATTAGTAGGTATATAATACATGCTAATCTAATTATAAAGTGTTAAATAGATAGACATCTACACAAACTTCAGTTATGGCGGGTGTGACTAAGGCTGAAATATCTTGAAATTCTTTGCCTTTTATTTCTATTTTGCTTACCATCATGATATTTTTTGTGTACAAAACATTTTTCTAAGATCTCTCTAGGATTATGCAGAAATTAATGATCTTTACAAAGGTTGCTCCAGTTAAACCTGTATATAAAGACCACTCAAGGGTGACAAGAAAAATAGTCTCTATAGGCAGGTGGTCTTAATATTAGTAAAGATCATCAAGGGGAAAAAGTGGTCTTTGTAGACAGGTGGTCTTTATATACAGACGATCACTAAAGCAGGTTTCACTGTTCCTCCAAAAATTCCATTCTTGTGGCCTCTTCCCACTCATCAGGAATTATTTCCATATTCAAATGATTTTGATATAGTTTCCTTCTCTTGTCATCTCTAATTAACATGTCCTCTTTATCTTTCCCTTTTTTCTTTTAATTGCTCTCGTCTTCTCCGTTAAATTATGAAGACTCCAGAAAATTATGCAGTAGGTTTCAGGTTCTTGTGTTTTATCCTCACATTTTCTTTGTTTGCACACACATTTATATATATTCATCTTTCTTTCATTTTATATTTTGCTGCGTATTATATTTCGCCCCTTTCTACCCAATTTATTTGTATTATCATTTTTCTTTTCATTGTTCTATTGTGTATACACCCTTTCTTTTCTAAACATAGTTAAGGGCATTAGTGTACACATCATAATGTCAACTGATGCTTTCTCATTTTATTATCATTTCAACAAAAAAATCTTCATTTAGGCCTTTTATTTTTTTTAATCATATTTTTGTTTATATCATTTGATTTTACAATTAATTCACATGTTCGCATAAATCTAACCTCAATTTTAAATATGTTTGCAAATACATATTTTGAAGAAAAGGCATTTGATTTGTTTTTCATCCTAGTTACTAAAAGCATAAAAACTGAACATGTGTAGCTTAAAGGGGGGTTAGCAACTTCTGCAATGAAAATATATTACCAGATAATATTTTTTTTTAATTTGATTTTTTAAATTTTTTGTTGTTGAAAGAGAGATGACAATAATGTAGATATAGATTACACAGTTCGCTTCCTACTATCACTGATCTTCAAACCCTTTTGAACCTTCCCCTTTAAAATGTGTATCCTGAATTGTGATTTCCCTCTATTCCCAACATGAATATGTACATGTGGTAAAGTATGCATGTTGTTTTCTTATTGGTACTGTATCAAACCTTGTGAGCTTGTGGGACTGGCTATTTACATGTAGCATGGTTATTTAAGACATTTTACAGACTGTCTATTTGTATGTAGTATTGGTAATGTGGGACCCCTTCATATACCGGGTAGCCAATTTTGATAATAAAATTTATTCATGTTAATTTACTTGTTGTTCAAGGGGAAATGGAGCGCTTTGTCCTCAAATTGAAAGGCAATCTTTATAATACATATTAATAACCTCCCGTATAATTGTTTTTTTGTCAAAAGTAAATAAAATATTGCAGTAGAATTTTTTTTAAATGCATGATCTTTGGCTGTTTGTGTGCAGAGAAGCAAGTGCAGTGGTGTTTTTATTGTTCTTGGTTCGGATGTGTTTGATATGGTATTTTGCTATCCTGAATATCTCAAGTTTTCCAATATTTGATTTAGATTCGCTTAACTTTATATTTCGTATTTACACTATTAAAGTTATGAATTGTTTACATTCTTTGTTTATGATTTTTAAAATGTAATCCACTTGATTATGTAGTATATGTATTCAAGATATTTATCCATTGAGCTTAGTGGAGTTCTTCATGTAATTTCTATTTATATTGCTGCCTCATTCAACATGCTCCTATTCCACTTTGATCATCACTGTATTTTTACCTCTCTTCCTCTCCCTGCCACCTCCCACCTATCTCTCTCTCTCTCTCTCTCTCTCTCCCTACCTATCTCTCCCTCTCTATCTCTCCCTCTCTCTCACTCTCTCTCTCTCTCTCTCTCTCTCTCTCTCTCTCCCCCCTCTCTCTCTCTCTCTCTTTCTCTCACTTTCTCTCCTTATAGGCCTATCATTTATCATAGTCATGTGATATTGATGTGGTTTCATACTTCATAGTGTCAATGATTTGTTTTGATAGATTACTAATTACATTGTTAATTACCATACAAAAGTGTTTAATAGTTCTGTCCATACAGTATCTCACATCACAGTTTTGAATAATGGTAAATTGTAATTGAATTATATTACATGTGCAATGAATCTCAATTTGTGTTATATGTTAGGCATCATCTCCAAACTGTGGTCATCATCATTTTTACGTTATTACATGCTTGATACATGTATTCAGTAAATGATAGATTGTAGATAATTGATACTGATATTAACCATTGTGAGATGTATTATTAAGAAGTAAGTGTATACTGTATATCCTCTTCCTCTAAGCCTTTCTGTACATGTATGTGTTCCAATAATGAATAATTGATGTTCATATTATGTGATAAAAACATATAGTACACCATTCTTACCCTCTCTCCGTTCAATGTGTTCACTCCCCAGCATGGTAAGGTACCTGAGAGAAGGGTGTACCACTTCCATTACACAGACTGGCCTGATCATGGTGTCCCACCCTACACACTCCCTGTGCTGTCCTTCATCCAGCGCTCATCGGCTGCTAACCCTACAGATGCCGGCCCAATCATTGTCCATTGCAGGTAGGCATTAAAAACACACTAGCTGGGCCCAATTTCAATAACTGACATAATTCTATAATCTAATACAATCCAGGAATTTATAAAAATGCCAATATCTAGTTGCCTAATCAAAGGCCTAATTAGTTTTAGTCACAACTAATCAAATGCAATATTTGTTGTAGCTAATATCAATCTTTGTGATTTGTTCTTGTCATGGAGTTTGTGACACAGGGCTCTGGTCTTCAAAAAAAAAATTCAGTAAAAGGAGGAAATCAGTGATACAAATATAAAGAGTGTGAGGAAAATCAGAGAACCAGTAAAAAAAAGTTGTTTATTTTTGTATCACAAAATGAAAGTTGCTGTCTAATGAGAGAAAGTAGCAACTCAGTATTGATACTAAACCAGCTTTTTTGTTTTATTACCACAAATCTCCCATGTTTCCCTCAAGAAAATATATGTTGCCTGTTTCCCAAGTTGATTGATGGTAACATACTATTTCATGTACATAGCTGTGTAAAATAAGTATTTTCTTTGTTTGTGTGTTCATGAATAGCTATTTCGTATACAGACTTTTTCAAAGTATACCTTCTTTTGTTTGATATTTGTTTACTACCAGTTACTATTATTTTCTTCTTTACAATTCTTTTAGTCATTATAAAACATGATTAACATATGACCATGCATTATTTCATCATAACAAGACTGTTACCCTTTCTCATCCTCTTTTTCAGTGCTGGAGTAGGTAGGACAGGCACTTACATTGTGATCGACACCATGCTGAAACAGATGCAAGCTGAGGAGAAGGTGAACGTGTTTGGATTCCTCAAGAGAATCAGAACCCAAAGGAACTACCTGGTGCAGACAGAGGTATGTGGAGGGAGATGGTGCACATGAGGGCCGCCAAAGTGGCCTTTTTATATGCTGATGATAATTTTGGGAATAGCTTTTGTATTAGTCTTTCAGATAATACTGTTCATTCGCAATGGAACAAAACCCTGGTCTACCACATTGTTTGGAATATATTATTCATATACATGTACACTGTACGTGTGCCAAAAGTCAGCTGTGGAAGTCCACTGTTTGATCAATCGGTCAATCAAAGCCAGTAAAGAGTTAATTTGTCATTTGAATTCTTTTCATTGAACTTTGATTGGGTACCACAATTCATGTGCCTCTATTTTATGCCTAAGAATGAGTAAGGTTTCAGATTCTAGCAATATATTTTGTCAAAGGGTACATGTCGATATAGAATAAGAGATTTTTCAAGTGTCTTTAGGCTTGGTTCAAATGATTTTGGAAAGGCCCTCACAAATTCATGAAAAAAACTTAAAAACTAAACCATGGCCAGAGAGCCAGTCCTGTAATTGCCATCTCCTGTTTATGAGATAAAGAATGATTCCATGGTTCCCATAACATAAAAAAAACCTTTCTGATGGTTCCGTTTATAAGATTAAAGGGAATGCTGGCCTCAACTGCAGAATTTTTGATCATGCATCACTACAACTACAGGTTCATGGTTAAGATTTGGGTCAGAGCTAGGCCGTAAGGTTAGGTTGAGGGCTTCTTGTATGATAGGAGTATTCTGCAGTCCTGCTGATTGTTGTCCTAGTAGCTAGGATGAAATCCTGAACATTGTTCTGCTTTGCTTCTCTGTTTTATCAGGAACAATATGTGTTCATCCACGATGTCCTGCTGGAGTGGTTGAGAGCGGGTAACACAGTGGTGAAATCAACAGAGCTCAGACAGTATGTGGATAGAATGACGCTACCTGATGAAGTTGGTAGAGTTGTTCTGGACGAACAGTTCAATGTAAGTTTCAGGGTTTGTTAATTTTATAAACTTTCCAGATATATATGTAGTTGATATTTGGCATATAATTACAGAATGGAAGTTATTTCATCTATTTGAAATTCATCTTCCTTGACAATGAGTTCATGTATGCTAGAGTTCAGAAGTAGTCCTGACATCTGCAAATATTGAAGATTTTGTGCAAAATACTGATTTTTTTTTTGATTTTTTAAGAGATCCATTTTTTAATATTATTTATTGCGTATGTTTGAGAAAAGGTGAGTCCTTTCAACAACAAACAAAAAAGTGATTTGTACTGATTAGAATACTGGAATATTCTGTTGAAAGTTGGAAGCTATGGTTTGCCATGATTCCCTTCATACAGAACATTACTAAGTATAGTCAAAGTATTGTGTACGATCTTATAATAATGATGTTTAAAAAACTTAAGAAGGATTCTTTTAAAGGAGATTGTATTTCTCAGAAATGTAGGATAACAAGTCTCTCCTTCACTTTTACTTTGCAGTTGTGCACCTCACAAGAAACAGTACCCAGCAATATCTGAGAGTTGATTTTACTTTACATTTTATTAAATGATGATATTTGTGACAGGACTGTTTAATGCTACCAGTACTTAACACTTTCTATGACTTCACTAATTTATTTGCAGCTGATTATGAAAATGAAGCCCAGAGATTATGAGTTCAGCAAAGCAAGACAGAGCAAACACAAGAACAGAGACATGGACCTTATTCCAGGTAAGTCACATCATAACACATCACATAATCAAAATCATTTCTCTGCCTGTACACTGATCACATACCATGAGGCAGTGTAATTTAGAGGTCAAACAATGCTGCGACATAGATGCACTGTGTGACCATATGCCTTGTATAGGGGCACTTTATGAGTGCCTTGAGAGATGAATGAATCTACAATTGGCTAATAATGTAATTGTTTGTGGAGTTTTGAAAAAATGGCGTCTTTGTGTTAATTCATGAAGTGCACATAAGTGCACAGACTCCGAGGTTATTCCTTTTCTTGCCTTTGAGAGGCTTTGAGAGGCTTTGAGAGTGTTTCCGTGATGTGTGGTGTTGCTCCACTTATTACAAGAGGCAGTCGTTGTAATATAATTTGTATAGGTATTATAAATTGTCTGCTAAACAGCGTCGAAATGCTTTAACATTGTATAAAGTGCGAACATCCTTTTAGCTCTTGGAATGGAGTTCCTAGGTTGGTGACGCAATACAAATGCTTATTATATTATTTTGTTGTTATCTTTACACAGTTGAGAGAAGTCGAGTACCTATCTCTGGAGTACCGGGTGTGGATGGCTATATCAATGCTTCATTCTTACAGGTATGATTTACACTATGGTTCCTTTCTTCCTTCCTTGTCATGCTCTCTCTTTCTCCTCTCTCTCTTTCTCTTTCTCCTCTCTCTCTCTCTCTTTCTCTTTCTCTTTCTCTCTCTCTCTCTCTCTTCCCTTCTACCCGTCACTCTTATCTTTCTCTCTTATTTTCCATTTCTGCTCTGTAATTGTACTTTAAACACTTCGATTATCAATGCAAACTTGAGTCATATTTCCTGTAGCTCTATAAATTTTAAGTGCTTGAATGAGAGTCATGAGCCCACAGTGTGATATCTATTATTGAATGCTTTACAGACAAATTATAAAAGAAATTAGAGCAACAACAAAATAATCTACAAACTCACCTCTTCTGTTTATATAATTGTAAAGTGCATTTGAACACGTAAACAAAAAATGCGCTTTATAGATACATTATTATTATTAGACATTGTTTGTAATACAATCTGGAAAAAGTGAAAACATCCACCGTAGCCCTTTTTTTAAAATTATTGATATTCCATGTGTTTTACATTGTTATATTGGAGAAAGTTGGGCAATTTCATTGTTATATTGGAGGAAGTTGGGTGCTTTAAAAAAATATTGTTATACTGAAGAAAGCTAAACAATTACCTATCATTTTGACAACCCTATGTCACTGCCTGATGTTTCCAGGGTTACCGACGTCAGAACGAGTACATCGTGACCCAGTACCCATCAGCAGAGACCATGGAAGACTTCTGGAAGATGCTATGGGAACATAACTCAACCACCATCGTCACCCTGACGGACGATCAGAAGGTTCAGTTAAAGGTCTTGTGTCAATCCGCTGCTTCTAACTCTTTCCTAAACTTTATCTTTAGTTGCTGAGAAGAAAAGAAAAAGCATGGATGTATAGTCAAACCTGTCATGGCAGTAGCCACCTTAGGTGAAAGGAGATGGGGCAGTATTGCTTCTCCCCTTCTCCCTTCAAAAAAAGAAAGAAAGAAACGAACAAATTAACAAACCAAAAACATGTGAACAAAAAGACAAATTAAATATAGCAACTTATTTTGTCTCCCCACTGGCCCCTCAAAAGATAAATATGAATGGATAATAAGTATTGAAATATGTTTAAATACAAGCAATATCCTGGCGTGATATAATTGTCACCTGATTTAATTGATCTTCCTTTCAATGTCCAGAGTTATATCCCATAACCCAAGTTTGGATGCATAGTAATTGACTTCAGTTTTATGAAAGTCTTGCTATTTATTTCCCTGAAGTGGCTTTTTATTGGCGGTTTTGACTGTACTGATATTTAAAGGCATGGTATAGTAATTTTGCTAAGGTTCTGGAACCTTTGGACTTAAAAATAATGAAAGAAACTTGAGTCAGTATGTTGAATTAAAACATACTTACCGATATTTAATGGAAAGAACATGAATATGATTTTAATGAAAAGCAAAGAAAGAGATTGACCTTCAAATGGTCAGTATATACATACTATTTCGCTCCATTTTAAAGGGCAAACATGAAATCGGTATGTAGCAAAGTGAAGGCAGTGAGACCCCTGCCCAACTCCTATAATAATAGAAAATACCATTATGAAAACATACTCTGCCTTTAATGAAATGCTAGCTGATATGTTTCATCATTGCTTAAGTAAACAATTTTTTTCATGGATGTTTTACATTGTGAAATAAAACTTTCACAAATCTTCCTTTTTCTCTTAAATCTCTGCTCCTGCCAATTTGACACAGACCTACATAAACAGTTTATTATATTGTGCTTATTATTGGGATACAGGTATGTTTTAATTTCATGGGTTTTTTTTTTTAAATCATAAAATTCAAGCTTCATCATCATTGAGCTTCTTCCTTGTTGACTCTCTGCTCTTGCTTATTTGACACAGACCTACAAATATTATGTTTATGCTAAGTTGTATTTGACTTTCTTGAAGTTTTTGTTTTATGGATTTCCCCCTTTTTTCAAAATAAAGCTTCATTGCAACTTGGCATCTTTTTGAAATTTCATCTTTTGCTCATTTGACACAGACCTTCTATGTACATTGCGATTTATTTGGTCATTTTTGTGTCTTTTTTCATCTGCTTAGAGGGGAAAAAAAGGTGAAAGGGCTGAATTTGCTCAGAAAAAGCTTTAAATTGTATATCAAAAGGGCATGAAACTTTTTGTACAAGATTCTTCTGCTTCAACTGCTGCATGGTTTTGGAACTGTTTTCCCCTACCCCCAATGAATGTATTGGAACATTGATAATCAAAATTTAAGAGAGAATGTTCTGTATACCTATATTTGATGTAAAGAAATGTGTTATGCGGTTTTATTGTAGATTTGCAATCGAAGAGAAAAATCCCCTCTTGTTCCAAATCTAGCTTATTTTCTAGGAAACAATAAGTTGTTCTATTAGGAATTGAGAACATTCATCAGCTATAGGCTTTCCAAGGATTTGAGAATCTCAACAAATTTTACTGCTCTTACTGTGGATATTTTGGTGAGGTTGAAAGGATATTGCAATGATCAGCAACCATCAAAAACAAGGATCTTAGTCATTAAAGATGATTGCTCGGTTAACCCAACGATTGTTGATTGATCTGAAGAAAAGTACTTAAGTGCTTGATTTGGTATAAATACATGTTTCCAAAGTCTTGACCAACGATCAAAAGTGGTCAAGGACTCCTAAGAGGGACCAATATGGGTGGGATTATGTCTTGATTGACTAACCCCTACTAATACGAGACATGTGACATAATTGGATGTATCCTTTCCCCCTCTGCCTGAACCTAAATGAGGTCATTTGATAGATTACTGTGAATCGCCGTGTACAGTATTCTTTTAGAATGTGGGCTAGCAGCATAGGTTATTTTTTAGTTGCCAACAAGCTTGGGTTGTGGTTCTCTCGCCTAGGTTCCATTTATGTGTATAGAAGAGATGACTCAAGTTATTTTTTGGTTGTTAAGAACCTCTGATCATCTTTTATGAAGGAATGAATGATTTGGTGAACCAATCAGTCTATGTTCATTCTCCAGTTTAAATATTATCCCTACTGAGCACTTGAACATGTCCATAACATTAGTTGTGTACAGGGAGCCACTTTAGGATAACCTTACAAAAAGTCTCACTGGAGCACTGCAATTGTGAATTGTTGCCATTAAAGTGACACATGAAACTTGCTTTGAGGTTTAATACTACACAGAATCATAGTAATTTGGCCTCTGAGATGAGCTAAATTTTGTTATGCCCAAGTGTTGTCTACATTTACATTATTTACATCATAATCCTGTTATCAAAATACCTTTAGGTGTGTACAGAAAGGCATCATGTAAAACAACTGATATTCAGATACTTAAGGTTTATTGGGTTGAAGGTTAAAGGTTATAGACCTATTTATATAGAAAACTGATTTCCCTGTAACAGTATCAGGGAAAGCTTGTGAAGAGCATCACAGTACTATAGTTGTATTCCTTGTAGCTCTTCAATATGTATTTGATCATCAATGTACATGTATATCTTAATTCTTTCCACATCATCTTGTCGCAAATTTTGACTTTTTTCTTTCTTTTTTTGTTGTTACTCTTTGACCTGTAGGAGGATGAACCCATCTACTGGCCAACCAATGTCGATGAACCTTTGACCCTTGGAGCCTTGACCATCACACTGTGTGAAGAGGAACACTCTAATATCTCCTTCATCACAAGGGAGTTCTTGGTCCAGTCATCACAGGTAACCACACTCCTCTGGTCATTCAAAATAAAGAATTTGATGTACGATCAATGAAGGAATGAAAACGTTTTTCATTATATGTCTCCTCCAGATTCTGTTTCCTTTGTGAAAGATTCTAGTGGTTTAATGAAGTCTTTTTGTCCCCTTTTTATTGCCATATTTACACCTTTTATATGCAATAAAAATATACAAAAACACTGGACATACACATACTAATATACTCCCCCCCCCCCCCCAAAAAAAAAAAGAAATTGCTGAAATTCACATCAACAACCATAACATGTAATCTTAGATTGTGTATAAATTTTGTTTGTTCATTCTTTTTGTGTGACGTTGCAGTTAATGCTGCTGCTGCTGCTGCTAATGATAGCAATAGTATGTCTCAATACAATGTTGTTCATCACACAATTACTTCTGGTTTTTATGCACTTTAGAATTAGTAATCGATGTCATTTCATTGTGATTGTAGGATGACGACCAGCTTAATGTCAGGCAATATCACTGTAGCTACTGGCCTGACTGTTGCTCTCCGCTTCACACGGCCTTTGACCTGATCTATGCAGTGCAGAAGAGGAATGAGTTCCTGGAGAGGTCTAACAAGGAGACGGTTGGACCCATCACAGTCCATGATAGGTAAGGAATCAGATGTGATTGATAATAATAATAATAATAATAATAATAATAATAATAATACATTTATAGAGCGCAGAAACTATCCAACATTAAGTATATATTCTACTGCGCTACAAGAGCTCCTGATAGGCTTAGATAATAATAATAATAATAAATAATAATAATAGTGGCTACTTGTATAGCGCACAGGTTGTTTCTTATGTGAAAAAGGTAAAAAATTGCTTAGATAATTAAATGATAATAAGTAATAATAGTGGCTACTTGTATAGCACACAGGTGGTTTCTTGTATGGGGGTCATGACTGCCATTACAGCTGCTCTAGCATTTTAAGGAATTAATTCCTGTCAGGTACCCATTTGCTTCACCTGGGTTGAGTGTGGTAAATGTAGGTTAATGTCTTTCCAAAGGACGTTAGTTCTATGGTAGGGATTCAAACCCCGTTCTCTGTGGTTTCCAGTCTGGTGACTTATCCACTAGGCCACAACACCTCTACAACCCTTGATGGCTACTAGAGGATTGAATAAGATGGCATTGGCATTGGCATTTCAAGCCTGGAATTTTCAAAGGGATTGTTTGCATTAAAATCCTTGAATGAGCAACATATTGAAAATTGTAGATCACTAAGCTTCCCTGCAATTTGGCAATTTTTAACTTTTCCACAAATATACTGTCCACATATATTCTTTTCAGACACATGGCAGTTTAATAGCAAAAAAATATCTTTTAAAGAGAACTATCAATGTTACCAAAGTGAAGAATACAAGAAACTCAGTAAAAAGGGTATTATTTTCAGATACATTACTTTAAAAGGAGAACTTCGCCAGAAAGAAAAATACCAATGTTGCCAATGTGAAGAAGTAAACTTTATTTGTGAGGGCATGAGATATAAGTCTACCAAACACATATTAAACTCATGTTTTAATCCTTGCATTTTCTTTTCAGGAGTGGAGGTTGCCAGGCAGGGACATTCTGTGCTCTATCTACACTACATCAAGAGATGATCCATGAAGAAGCAGTAGACATCTACAAAACAGTCAAGCTGTACGCTGCAAAGAGACCAAACCTTATCACATCTAGGGTAGGCAGAAAATGTGCTATCAGGAATATTTCTAAAGAAGTTTGAATGAGTTTGTATTGTCCTTAATACTGAAAGGAAGAAAGGTGTATAAAATGTTGAGAAGTGAACAACACACATCAAGTACAATTGAAACAATGAGAAAGGGGTTTCTTTGCTCTTTTTTCTCATTTGCTTAAGTATATATTAGATGATACTTTGTTTATATTCAGCTATTGTAATTCAGGGACTTCATGTTAATGTAAAAATCATAATTAGCTGGAGAGAGGGTTAACCTTTTTTTCAGTTGTGTTTCTCAGGAGCAATATACAGTCTCAATTCAGATACAGATATCATTCACTTTCATTAACAAGTATCCTATTATTGCTTTGCTTGACAGGAGGACTACTACTACCTCTTCAAGGCCCTCCAAAGCTGTCATTCTGCAGAGCTTCAGATCAGGAGTCTAAGACGCCAGGGTTCCCGAAGAGGAATCCTGGATGGACCCACCGCACCCAACGGTCGAGAGTGGAACTTCCTTCGTAGTCCAGGTCACGTGGATCCAGGCAGCATGCGACTGTCCGATTCAGTGCGCAATAGCTCATTGGACAGTGACGGTTTTTATCGGACTCGTAGTCAGACCATGTCAAGCGCAGGCCCCCAGCGCCACCCAAGACCCTCCAAGTTCTGGCATCGGCGGACCAAGTCGGAGAAGCGAAAGCCGCTAAACCCACCCAATGCGGCCACGACCAGGCGCAGCTCTATAGCCACCACGCCAGGTGATCGCACTCCGAGCGAATCTCTAGGAGAGGTTTATGAACTGATCAATGTAAGATCCAAGGACTCCACCCCAAACTCACCGACGAGTAATGAAGAGTTTGTACTGATTGGTGAGACAGGAGTGACTTCAGAGTATCCTGTGGTCTCACCTGAAATCCATGAGTCATCGGGAGACATCTCAAATGGAAACATTGAGGAGATGGGAGAGGAGACATCAGGTCGAAAGCCAAAGGAAGCCGCTTACAGGCCGGTCTCTCAATTATGCGATGATGATAGGGAATGTATGGACGTTGATGGCGAGGACGATGATGGAGACGATGACATTCCTGCTAATGAGTGCACACTGAATGAGGATTTGGACAACTTGAACATGAACGGCGAGATGGTAAACTTGAATGTGAATGGTGCTATAGACCTGTATGATGAGCCACAGGACGTAGACATGGACACAAATATCTCAGAACTCAATGGAGAGGTGACCCCACTTGACCTTCCAGCAGAGGTCATAGGTAAACTCAGTCACGAGCGGAAAAGTTACTACAGCCAGGAATCTGTAAACAGTGCGCAGGAGACTGAACCTTTAAACGCAGAATCATCATAGAACGTCTTGTAGAGGGCTTTCAGCTCCTGCAGACTTTGAACTGACAACTTAAATCTTGTAACATTTGAGAGGTGTCTCTCATGAAGAGATTCTTTTATTCATAGCCAAAGCTTTACCTAGACCAAATGGGAAATCCATTGTCAACGTTTGCACATCACCGAGTGTGAGGTTAACAGTAAACTTCAAGGCACACCTGCTGCAGGGGGCTCACATATGTGCTCACTTCCACCAGATATACAAAGAATAAGTGCAAGGTATGTCAACTGTATGATATGTGGACCATGTGTATAGGAGATGTGGTCCAGAGCTCTCCTTGGAAGGTTTATGTAGGATATGTTCTTGTTAACATACCTGGTAGGTATGCCTTGAAAGTGTGTGTAGGACATGTCCCCAGTATCCTACTCATGAGATGTGTATAGGATATCACCTCTGTAACTTATCTGTTAGGTGTGTGTATCTGGTCAGTGTGTGTAGGTCATGTCCTCACTACGTTATCTTATGTATGTTGGGTATGTCCTCAGTTTCATACCCTTGTTGATATTTCCTAGTAAGGGGCGCTTACTTTGTCATATACAGTATTACTATCATTTGACTTGTGTTGTGCAAGCTTTATGCTATATTGGACAATGCTTTTTCCCAGCCTGTGAATATGTACCATTCCCACAAAGTGCTCATTCTTTTTGTATAGAAATACAGGATGTAAAATATAGAAATTATGAATTATGAAATTGGATGTCGATGCATAAAAGCAATGTGTTGTGGATTGCTTGCTTCATATGTGATGTCTCTTGGAGAGAGACTAGTAGTGGTTAAACAGGATGTACTTGTAGTTGTATAGGAATAGAGCCAGACGGGAAAATTAACTCAGATTGTGTGCTTCAAATAAAAGGAGTTTCAAAGGGGAACTCCTTTTACTAAATCATCAAAGATAAAGGACAAATAAATAAATATTTGAAGTGGTTCCTGCTTTTTTTTCCCTATAGCACGATAAAGTGCTTCATTATAATTATTTGATTTCTAATCCATATAATTGTTGGCATATTTTGTTTGAGAGATATCAATCAGAGTCATAGATTGATTTTACTGATTGAATCTCCTTGCATGATTAACATCTGTGTAGACTGATTAACTAACATGCCAAGATGGGGTTCTATTAACTGGTATTTGTTTTCAAGAAATGTTTGCATTCACATTATAAATTTGGTGTAGATGTTGATGTAGAACTAACAAAGGGAATTGCTTCAAATCAATTCTAGTAATGAGATACCCGACAAAGAATTTCTGCTCATTGTTAAAATATGTTTTTCTTATATATATTACCCATGCCACATCCAAGCATAGTGTTTAATTTGAAATCTAAAGAATTGGTGCTAAATATCTCTTTCTTACTCGTTTAGTCTTTGTAATTTCTAAAAACAGCTCGGCAGTATGATGTACATTTTATACCATTAACTTTAATTTCATCATGAATTTACCTCTTATATGTTGGGTCAAATTTTGTTTGAAGGTAAATCGTGTCATGTTTGTTTGCCTTTGTTCTTGCCTATGTTTGCACTTAATTAATTAGTAATTTATTTATTTGATCTATCTTAGATCCATATAGGGGTTGTTTTGATTATTTTGTTTTTTTCAGATACCATTACATCATTATCATACACTGGGTTTTATTCTATTTTTCCTATGCAGGCATATATGCAAGTTAGTGTAATTTTTCTTTCTGTTTTCAAAATGCTTAAGAATTACTGCAAAGAGGTCATGTGTATACCTGAATTTGAGCTCAATGTTGACATGATATTCACAGAGTTTTTTGGGCTTATTCACTCCAAGTTTGCCTGTTGCAGTATGAAGAGCAAAGAGTGTGACTATTCCATTTTTACATTACATGTGTTACTGAGCCCTGTCTTATAAAAGAGTTGAGATTTGAACCTTATTGATCACATGTCCTCCAGTCAATCACAAAGTTAACCTTTGCCCATTTCTCATGTCGTCAGTCGAGGATGAGAAATGCTCTAAGCCTACCGTTTTCTGTGGCCCTTCTCGTTCGCAACCGATGATGTGTAGAGTAGCGATAGATGTCAAACTCAAGTTGTTGATTCAGATCAATGTCATCTCTTGGTAAGATAGGTCTGTCATTATTTTAGATTGTGTTCAATACCACATTCTTACAGTAGACTCACTATATAGTCCTACTGTAAACCAAAGCATAATAGGGATGAAACCATTACCGGTGTTCATCGTACTCTAATTTTTTTTTCTTGCCTGTATGATTTATTTATTCATTCATTAGAAATTTGTTTCTCATTCATCTTTCCACTTGCCCTTGCCTCCTAATAGACAACCAAAAGATGAATGTTAGGCAAGAAATTGAAATCATTCCTGCCCATAGCCATTGCCTACAGGAGTTGGGTAATAACTGTAGTAAGCCTACTGGTATATGATTGAGAGAAGTCAGTAGTAAACAGGTTAAAATGTCAAGCAAAGCATTTTGATCATTATGTGCAGTCTTTAGAAGTGAAGTCATATTTATTTTGGAGGATGGCCATTATCAACTTAATAACAAGACACTAGTTTAACAGTTTTATTTTTGGTAACGAAATCATGTTTCAAAGATAATGTATTTACTATTAAACAAGTATGATTAATCTTATAATCACAAAGTGCATCGCATCATGACATCTGACAAATTCCAGGGTTATTTATTTTTCTGTGAGCTGTTTTATTGGTTTAACAGGGTAAAATAACTATGGGACATTTTTGTTTTAGTTGTTTCCTTTTGTTGGTGATTTTCATGACGATTGTGTTTATACTTGTTTGCGCCCACTTGTACATTTTCTATCTTCTTAACCCTTCTGTGTCATTCCTACAGCTTTATAGTTAACATTACGGTACTTTTTATTTTAGATTTTCTAGTGGAAATTTGTTTCCTGAGGCAGACCAAATCTTTGGCCTCTGCAAGTGTTATTCATTCCCCATTTAATATTATAAACCCCTCAAAAAAGCTGTTTCCTATCTGTATACTCCATTTTGGATAGATATTAAGTCAAAGGTGATTCGCTTGGCTTTATTTGTCCAGATTGCTTCCATAATATTCTATATATATATGTGCTTCTATGATGCCAGTAGCTCACTTAATTGTGCCATCCTTATCCCTCGACTGCAGCCCGTCTCTGTGCTGAGTCTAGATAGGACTGCTGCTGTATAGGACATTGCAATGCAATGATGCTCTCTGCTTGTAGGATAATCATGAGAAGATAATATGTTGTACAGGATGAGATGCTATGTTTTGTAATCTTATTGTGGAATTGAGATGCCACACCACAGACATACTTGTACAGTTACTGAGTCGCCAGGCTTAATACAGAGGAGTCGGATGATATTGTAGCTACTTTCAGATGGTTAAGCCAAAATGTGTGTATGGAGGGGGGGGGGGCATATCTTCATGTTATAACTTCTTTAGATCCTACATATTTTTCTGAAGGCATTCAAATATACAGAGAGGCTGTTTTTTGTAGAAGATATTCAAAGATATTGTAGGTAAGACTTAATAATGGAACACTATGCATGTACATGTACTGGGTATTTTGTGCTTTCTCAGACATGGCTCATGGATTATACTATGGGGGGGGGGGGGGGGTTGGATGGGGTGGAGAAAATTCACCTGTTTAATGAAAAATAGAATTTCAAATTTGGATAACTGTCTATGCCATTTGAATTGTCAATTCATTATTGTTTTTCTTATGACAAAAGATGAACTTTGACAAGTTCATTTCTCCGGACGATCACATGAAAACAGAATTTTCTATGTTGAAACTCTTTGAAACTTTTGTTAAACGTTTCTTTGTTTGTCCATCAATTTCCTTAAGTAGAATTGTATTTGAAAATCAAGTTGTGATGATCATGAGGACTCTCAATTTATTTACGAGAAGGAATTCTACTTGAACTTTAACTTAATGAATTGTGTCAAAAAGAGATGTTAATGCCTTATCAATGTGTAACACGTATAGAGATACTTCAAACCTAATATTGTACAATGTAATTTGATGATGAAATTGCCATTTATGTTTAAATAAGAGTGTTGCTTTGTAAAGTTACATTGTACATGTATCTTGCTAGATGAAATTATGTACAGAAGCCAATTGGAAATGACTGGCCCCTATGAATTTATGTGAAATGGGCTGCTAAATTTATTGTATTTGATTATTGTCATTTTTTTAGCACGATGTGGCTGTCTTTATATATGCTTCACAGAGAAATAAATGGAACAGTATATAAATATTGAATTTGTGTGAGTCTGATGTTGTTTGGTTGCTACATGAATGTACTGATCATGCACGCCATGGATGTGCACTTCAGAAATGCGTAATGAGAAGATTGAGTGCTGGTAAGAGGAAATGATTGTTTCAGTTTCAATGACATGTGAACGAACTTGCCATTGAAACATTTGATGTTTGCTGGTATTAAGACCAATATAGATCTTTTGCACATTAAACCATTGCAAATACACAACCTAGATGGTTATTGTTCGAACCCTACGAGAATGAAAGTGTTCAGTAGCCAACGGGTTATGAAGATGTAAATAAAATCAGTGATCTAAAAAAAGGTGTTTGCAACGTTTGTGCATGTGTGTGTGCGTCTCAATGTACAGTACAGAGTGCATATGTGGGATGCTATCAGAAATCTACTCCCCCCCCCCCCCCCCCCCATTTGACATATCATACAACACTTTTTGACATTATTTAGCTTTATCAAAACAAAAGTTGTAGAATTGTTTCATTACTTCCATTCATGATGTGGTTCTTCCTCTGTCTGTGCCATAAAAACAAGATTTTCCACAACGACACATCTTTTCAAGCCACTGCATTCCGCAATCAAAGCTACCTCGCTCTACATGTATATGATGGGATTAAATTGAATGCCTATCTAGCTCTCAGTAGACAGTATTAAAATCTAGCTCTTTTTCACGACTATCTCTTCTTTTTTTTTTTATCTCTTTCATCTCTCATCATTTTGACAATTATAACTCAACACGTTGGCATATAATCTTTCAAAGTAATTTTTATTCTAGACTTTTTTATTTGATTCATAGACTATTTGATATCTAAAAATAGCAGAGGCACAAGCATAGCATGATAGGGCATGAAAATAAAGTTAATATTACATAGTAATCAAAGCAATATTCTTTCTCTTAGCTGATTCGGGCAGCTGAACATGGAAGTGCGCCCACATTGTCAGCCACCAAGCATGCTAAATGATAGTTCAAATATTGCTGCTTTAATTCAGTGCTGGCCATGCACCTCTCTGATTGTACAAGACATTGAATCCCTTGTTATGCTATTGGATGGCCCCCAGCTGTGATGGATATATTACGACAGTGTTCCAAGAAACCATGGAAACCGACTATATAGCTACTCACCAAGTATGTGTTACAAGATCAAGGTGGGATTCTGTATACTGTAAAAGCAGGAAATATTTGTGTTCATTTTGTTGTGCTTTTTCATGATATATTTGGCAAGTTCAAAGTAGAACATGTGTAATAGATAAAGTACATACGGTATGAGCAAAATCTCATGCAGCATTAATTAAAAAACCTGATAACTCTCTTGAGTGACATGACTTGATCAATTTGTAACACAAAACCACTGCTCTTACAGTACAGGAATGTAACTTGCACATTTTCTAAGAGCTTGCAAATCTCAATATCTTACATATTATCGCTAATTAAACAATACATTTGTTTTTTCCTATATTCTTATTTTCTTGATTAAACCTTAAATACCACCAGTATTCAATATATTATGAGTATATTATGAAACATAATTGTTAAAGTTACTCTTATTGACAAAGTAAAATATTCATTTTTTCTAAAAATGATTTGTAATACTTCTCTTGTAATGGTAAGACATAGTGACTTATATCATGCACACACTAAACAATTTTTATCATGTTTCTACAAAATTCGAGCAGCCAGTGCTGTAAAAACAGACGCATGAGTGAAATCTTTATATATATATACTGCAATGGAACAGAAGGGTTTCTTCATTCCTTTGATATCAATTTTAATTCTCCTACTAAGCATCCATCAATACGATTCCTTCACACATCAAAGGTGCAACACGATTGAAAAAGACAGTGAAATTTGTATATAGAGACCACCTAAGAAAGAAAAGGAAGGTGGTTTTATATGCAAGTGGTCTTTAAGCACTGTCTACTTTAGTACATGCTTCAATGAGAAACACTATTCAAGGGAAATAGTAAATGTATATAGACAGGTGGTCCCTTTGTACAGGTGGTCACTGCACAGGGAAATCTAAATGTAGTCTTTATATAAGTAAGATATTCTCCAACCCTGTCTTGATACTGTTACGAGATACTACTCAAATGTTCGTTTAGTCTCATGGTTTTTGTTACATGAGGATTTCATAATAGGAATTTCCAGTAAACAAACTGGTCAATGTAGAATACAGGAAAATAAAATATTAGGAAAGGCATGAAAAATACCTTTCCTTTGAATCATGTTGAGTAATTCATGCACTGTATACATGTACATGCATTCTGTAGATTGCACTATTGGTTCACACCTCTGCTACTTAATATTGATTTTCATATCATAATTATCAAATTGTACAGAAACATGATCAAATCAAACTAATTATATCAAACTTAATAAGTTTCCCTAAAGGGACATTGAATACATCATTAATACTGAAAGCAAGCAACAGGGCACATAAAGAGAAAAATTAGTAACTAAGAGTAGACTTAAACAAATATGAATTAAAGCAATTTAAAGTTATTTTCGTAGACAGGGTATAATTGAATCACCTACAGATAAATTCATAATAAATAATCATTGCAACATAATCAATCAGCACACTTGCAATTTCTGCTCCAAAAGATACTGTCATATATAAATATATATATATTTCATTATTTTGTATTTTAGAAATACTGACTCTAGAATGAGTATGTGTTTATACATTCGTAGTGTGCTTGACACCCATAGGCATATATTGAATATAGCATACACATTATACATGTACGCCTAACATAAAAGATAAACATAGTTTAAGTATAACAAATTCTAAAAACTTATTTAGGATTAAATATCCATGTCATCTGAAAAGTATGAATATATACACAAATTTCAATTGCAACAATAAGGAAGTTAACAATATTACCATGAGTTGCTGGTACGTACATTATAATTGTGCGTCATATATACAGTAGCAGATCATTCATTGAAACATTAGCTACGTGCATTGTCTAAAAGCTGCATCACATAGCAAAATTGACCTAATGAAAAGTTGAGTAGATCATATCATCTAATAAAACAAAAACAAAAATGATAAATAAGTGTTTCATATCATTATTCGTGCGAAAGTGAATAATTTGGAAATGAATGAGTAAATGAACAAATAAATTAGGATAAATTTGAACAGTTTGCCAATAACCAACAAACATAATATTCTCAAATCCACAACCAAATATTCCAGCTGCCATATCAGAATAAAATAAACAACAAATTATTTCATTTCTTTCAGTGTCTCGTCAATTTTGTCACATAAAATCAATCAACTATAGCTCTATCCATAATTTGTATCCATAGCACACCTTTCGTTACTTTCACCATGCTTCACAGAATCAAATATATAGGACATACTTTTAGTTTCCTTGTCTCTTGCTCCTGTACACACATGGCATGCAGGTGATGATGCTGGTAGTGGTGGTGGTGGTGATGATAATGATGAAGATAGATATGATGATGATGATGATGATGATGAAGATGATGATTTCAGTTGGCATGAGTAAGTTGTCTTCCATAGTAGAGTCTAGCCAGAGCATTCGGATGGATTCCCATATGGTAGGCAATAATGATCACATAGTTCCACATCACTGTCTGTAATAAGAACCATTTTGAGAACATAGCTATAAATAACTTGACAACATTAGCAAAGGGACAAACGGTATTAAAAATGAATTCAAAAACTAAATGGATAGTATCTGCATGTTATATTCTCAGTTCAATGTCTCATCTTCAAAATTAACTACTTTTCCTGACATACTACCTATTATTTGTTTGGTAGCATTACCATAACTTAATGCTTTTCTCTTTGCTTGGAAAGGTTTGAAGTGTATGGCAATGCAAAAGCAATATCATGAAGAAAAAAATTGGAAGTATACAGAACCGGTATTTAATACCAATCATTATGTTGAAGATGGATTAATATCAGTAGTTTAAAACATTTTCCTAAACCTCAGCAGTCCATCACAAGAAGCTCACACAGTATATTTAAAGAGCAATGACATCATAATTTGACCTACAGAAATAGACCTAACTCTAATTTTATGTTCGTTTTTTAAACAGATCTGGTCAAAGTCCAAAATTCAGTTCTCAAATCAAAGCAAGATAAAATGCTTGGGTAGCAATTATGATCCAACACTACATATTATGATCTTTAGATCCACTATATAAATATTGAACAAAAGATTTTTGTGGTTATTTTCATAATCATAATGATCATAAAGTCTAATTCAGTTCACACAGGACAAAATAAACTCCCTTAAAAAGCTGCTGCGGCACACACACAGACCAACAAACAAAAAAAAGATACAGAAAACTAAAGCACACCTTTCATTTTTTTGTTTTTTTGTGTGTGTGCTTCTTTTTAGTTTGGAGATCTTTATCGTGGTATGTGTGTTTAGCATGCAGTGTACGAAGGAAGGAGGCTTAGGGAAGGCAACCACAAGATTGCATCTGGAATATAGGCCACACACCAGTAACGGTGATTCATTATCATATGGGGAAAACAGAGACAAGAGTATTTTTTGATGTACAAGATATAAACATGACCTACTGATGAAAGTTTTGGGGTAGAGAATGAAGGTCAAAGGTCTTTCAAGAAGTATTTTAAAAGAGCTTATATGCCAAACTCTTGTTATATCTTGAAAATCTTATGTGCTTATGGGCTTGAAAACTATCAGGCACCCAAAATTTCAAAATTTGTACATAAGGCTCACACATAAAGATTCCAAGAAAATCAGACCCCCTACAGAAAAAGTGAGTGTGAGGCCCTGTTATAACCCCTGCCTGCAACCCAAATGAATAGCATAGCTCACTGTAAGATAACCATATTGTGCCCATCTCCTTGATGATGTGATGGCCTGCTTCCCTTCAACTATCTGTATATGACCTTCTCCTTGAAGCTTCCACACCTGAAAATACACAACAATTAACATTAAAGGGAAAGTCCACCCCAAAATAAGTTTGTTTCGATAGAGGCAGAATAATAAGAAAATCAGGTGAGTGAAAGTTTGAGCAAATTCTGAATGAAAATAAGAAAGTTATGAATTATTGAAGTTGTGATCAATCAAATACAAATTGGCAACTCTGTGACGTATTATACGAGCTCTCCTTCATTTGCTTTGTGCATAATATTCCATAAAATCATGTTTTCTTCATTATTGATGACGGAATATATATTTGTTCCTTGCAGGGGGAGTATAGAAACATATTTGCAATTATTATATTTAGGGTGCATGTATGGTTGAAATTTTTCTTGAGGGAAAATGAAAATTTTAGATTTTTTTAGTACTGAGCAAATGGAAGTTGAGCTCGCATGATACGTCATAGAGTTGCCAATTTGTGTTTGATTGATCACAACTTCAAAAATCCTAACTTCCTTATTTTTAATCGGAATTTGCTCAAACTTTCACTGACTTGTTTCTCTCATTTTTCTACTCCTATTAAAACTAACTTAATTTCAGGGTGGACTTCCCCTTTAAGCCACATCATGAAATGCTTTAAACTATAAACCCCCCTTAATTTTATTGCAATCATGTTTGTGATATTTAAGCAGGAAATTTAGATTTTTGCCATATCTTGTACTGCTTTTAATATCAATCAATATGTTGTTTATTCTCTTGCTGTTGTGGGTTGTTTTCTTCACACATTTTTCATATCAGAACAAAGCATTTAGATTTCATTCACCCATTATGCTTCAAATATTGAAAATATATATGATAAAATGTCAGGTCCTTATATTAAAGGCAAAATATCCACACAATGAAAGAAAAAATGCAAAAATTCCATTACCACACAATCAAATAAAACTATGAATAGTCAAGTCCCATTTGATCAAATATCACTGACTACATCAAATATTTTAGTACAATTAATTCTTGGCTATGGTCAAACAAAATATAATAATAACATGATAAAACATGATAATACTTTGATCTGATTATAGAACTAATTCACTGGACTTGCCCAAAAAAGAATTTGTAATAAAACAAACTGAGCCACTAACATGATCTGCACTATTCCATCCATCATATTATACACCTACTCATTCATTCTAGCTTGAGGTATCAGTAATTAAGACAATAATAAAAACTAAAATTATACATACCATTTCATAGTCTTCCATTATTAAATAATCAGGAAACATGGCAACACTTTTGAATAAGGTCCTAGACATGAACAAAGCCTGGTCTCCATAGGGAAGCTCTGCACAAAGATATACAAAGGATTTATTGTATTTAAAGGACTGTATCCCATTTGCAAAGTTTTTCTAGCAACATGAAATTTGGCATGGATTAACATACTACTGTTACAATGATACGTATGCAATCCTATGATTGGAGGTTCCGTTGCATTTTTATGAAATTGGAGAAGAAAAAAAGTAGATGCCACTCATGGGGCACTAAGAGTAACACTTATAATTGTAGTTTAAATTATCCTTGCTATGCGTCTGAAAATACTTGATCAAATTCGAAAGAGAATTTGCACAATGACTTAATGTGCTGCTAAAACTCCTTTTGGAAAGGAAGAAGTAAAATGAAAGTAAATAGGGGTAAAAAGTCAAATTTATTTTGTGTTGAAAGAAGAATTTCCTCTTAACTAACTAAAAGTGTTGAGTGAGAATGAGCATTATATCAAAGTGCTAAGAATGATCAGCGAGCAATGAACGGATTACATACATACCCATGATCTTAGCCCTCCAGTTGGTTCCCCATTCTAACACCTTCATCTCAAATGCAAAGAGTTTGGAGTAACCAAACTCAGACCTGAGCAAAAATACAATCATTTGAATTGCCCACGTTATATTTGCATTAAAGTGTACCAATCACCTGAACCTCAAATATTTATTTTTGTATAGCTAGAATGTATAAAATCGTATAAAGTATATATCAGACTTTTGTTCCATGTGCGCCAAATTCTATGAGAGCATGTATGTGTGCATCAAATAGTTTTGGTGATTGGCACACTTGAACCTCCAAGCATTATGAACAGAATGTAAAGATCAGAAATAAAAGAATATGATAATATATACATGTAAATGAATACATCACTGACGTTGTTAAAAAGGAATAATGGCTGAAAGTTATTTAGCACAAAATTTGATCTCCTGACGGGAGTTTGTTCCTTTTGTTTTTTGTGCATACTTTAAAGACCTACACATTTGTATTCAACTGAACAAGCCTACACATGCTACAAACAATACCTGTTTCACAAAAATCTAGTATCTCACTTAAAAGATTATATGAGTATTTTAATTATAAATTATTCCAATGAGAAATATCAAATTGGTTACACAATGCTATGGGTTCCCAAGAATGAAGTGAATATGTGCTGTGTGAAAACTCTCCTATACATTTTCAAAGCCAATATCTTTATGCATGTATATAAAACAAAAGAAAATTTAACACCAATAGCAGCACAAATTTTCAGAAGTTTTTCAATCTCTGTGCTTTAATCTTGGAGTATTTCTCTTATAGGTGTATTTTAAACTTTGAGGTAGGAAAACAAAAAAAAAGAAGTAAGAAAGTCAATTATTTCATTCCAATCCTTTGTACGGGGAAAACAGCAATAACCAAATAAATAGTATTTTGGGTCACTGCATTGTCAAGAAAAGGGTCATGGCGCCCAAAAAATAAAAGAGAAGCTCTTACCTCTCTGACTCTGAACAATGATTGAAGTCCAGAGCAAACTTAAAGGCCCCTCCACTCACCCCAGGAGTGGAGAGTGTAAGCACCACCGACGCATCAAAGCCTTGAGGTAACTTGGTGTCAGCATGTAAGAAAAGAAGATTGTCTCCTTTGGAATACATGGCACCTTTGTTTAGTTGTCTACCCCTACCTAAAGACAAAAGAAAATAAAGCATATCATTCCAGTTTCTACCAATAAGTACAAAAAATAAATTAATATCTATTAAAGAACAAATTTACTATTTAATTTTCTTTCTGAAGTTTCCTTCATCTGTCACAGACATGTATTATGTAGACATGCACAAAAAAACAAAAAAAGAGTTTGGCTTGCAGTTCTTAAATTTTCAAACTGAATTCATTATGGTTTCACTAACTCTTTCACTAACATTGACCCTTAATTACTCTCTTTTTGTTGTACTTTCTCTTAGGATGCAACGAATTCCGGTACATGCTTTACATAATCAACTAAACAACTTTCCATCTATAGATCTGAAATATTCCAAATATATCTATGTATTACCTTTAATAAGATTGAATGAAAATCTATGTGTAATATTCTGTTTTCATTGAGATCTTAAGCAGATGATTAACTTGGATTTACTTGAGAATTATTCAACTTTTAGCTTTGACATCTTGGATATCAATGTTACAACCTACATGAATGAATCCTTCTATCTTTATCATCGTTAAGTTTCTTACCTTTTAACCCTGTAACAAGTTTTATAGGGACTCTTTCATTATTCTTGGCAAATTCTGTGACAAGTTCGCTTGTGTTGTCATCACTTCCTCCATCACAGATTATGATCTCCAAAAAGTTTGGAAAAGAACATCGCTGAATGGAAAGGGAGTGAAAAACAGACTATTAAATGTATCCTCCATTTTCTTACCCACCTCCCCCACCGCACTGTCCCATCTATTCAAGTTTAAATATACCAAGAGCTATTCAGCTATGCTCTGACTGAGTTTTTTTTTTTTAACCAATGTCTTTTAATGTTCAGGATCTAATGAAAATCATAATATTCCCAGACAGATATCACAAAACAGTGTGTATATCATGTTCAAATGTTTCAATCATTCAACTCCTGTACATGGAAAAACAATTAAGGAAACCTCTTACAATTGCAAACATTATAAAAATGCATGAAATATGCTTTAAATTTTTCCTTCAGATCTTACAAAAGCGATATCAGCATTTTACTCCCCAAAATAAACATAAAACATTATAAAAATGCATGAAATTATGCTAAAAATTTTCCCTTCAGAAACCTTTCATTCAGAAACCTTATAAAATAAAATCATACACATTACTTTCATACACAGGCTGATCAGTAATACTTCACATTGATCAAAGGGTAATCTGTTTTCTCCTCTTTTCAAATAAGCATAATGATGAACTTGGCGGTAATTGCACATGCAGATAAACAATATTTACACAATCTGTTTGTATTCACTAATTTGTTCTAATAGTCAATTGTTCAAGACAAGATTATTATCTATTAATCAAAAGGAAATATTGTTAGACCGCCTCTTCCTAATTGTATATAAACTAAAAGGAAGCAGGCCCATATCTCTCATCTTAATCACTACTACAAAGTAAATAGACTTTGCACACAATAAACATACACCTATCGTCATACATATGAACTTTAACTGACATAACTGTTATCAGCATTCTACCCCCAAAAATCAACATAAAACATGCTACATGGACTAACCTCTGTGACGTTTTGGAGTGTCTGTTGTATAAAAGGACCTTCGTTAAAAACAGGAATGATAACGGAAAGGAATGGTGCTCGAATTTGTTCCACAGTATACCCTGTTGACCTCTCAATTTCATCTAGATCTTCTACCGTATCCTACAAAATAGTCATACAAAGGAAAATGTTGTTTAAATCCAAAGGCAAAACTAAAATGATAAAGATATCTACAGATCTATTACAATGTTGCAATACTCTATGTATAAAAACATACGCATATTCTGTATACATACAAGATTAGATTCAGGTAACCGATACGAGACTCATAATTTACTATTGTTATAATATAAAGGTCATAGTCACTTCAAGGATTTCAATATATCACATCAAAATATGCTGGCATTTCTTACCACATCTTGCAATATTCTGGGGAGTATCTCTAGTCTCAGTTGAAGTTGTTGTGCAACTTTTCTTTGCTGTTGTAGGACTTTACTTGTACCCCATTCTATATCTGAGCTGGTAAACAGAGGATCTAAGGGCAAGAAAAATGACACTAAATAAATATGTTATTTCCCTTTAAAAAAATGATATGTTAATTTGTAAGCTTTCCCGGGCACTCAGGGAAGGCAACCGATAAAATACAAGATGGCTGATAAAAGAAATGTATCCTCATCTGACAAACAAAGTGCAAAATAAAGCACAGTATCGAAATACAGAGCTACAATTGGAATAAAAACATATGCAGGCACCATTTCCTCAAGAGAGCACTTGAAGTTGTCACTACAATCGACTTGAAAAGAGAAGTATCTTGCATTTCCCAGGCACTCAATTCCCTTAATATCCTCTAGTTGTTAAATCATTGTGCCCATCCAATCCAAGCAAGAAAGTTCAAGACTTGATCTTAATTGATATTGACAGGAGTATTCATGTTTACAAATTTGATATATAATTCAGAATACTTAGTTAAAATAGTTAATATGAAAATTCTGAACAATAAAGAACGTCTACTTTCTTTCTTTTTTGCTGAGTGAACATTGTCTATAAATTGGGAAAATATAAAAATATTGTGTATTGTAAATGGATTCACCATGCAAAAGCAGGTAGATTGTCAGTTTACATTTAAAAACGGTACAAGAAAATAAGTTTAAAGAATCATTGTAAAACAATTAAATGTTACTCACCAAGATCTATAGTTTCTTCTCCCTCATTTTGACTCAGCCCAACCAGGTAGTAACCCCCATCTTTAGCAGCACCCAATATCATGTTACAGGATCCAAGGGACAACTTGTCAAAGGTAGAACATATGGTATCAGCATCGATTGCTGGGATATCACTCCCGATCTGTGATGGATTGAAAAGGAACAGATATGACAAGTTTTTGATGAAGAGCTTATCTCGAGTTCTATTAATAGACCTGCGCGTGATGAAAAAGTAGCTTAAAATAATTCTGAATAGTTTAGCATGCAGTAAGTGAGTACATTAATCATGAAAACTTACTGGAAATCACATTCACTTGGGGATCATACATACTCATATGTCATTCATCTGTAACAATAATGTTTGCCTACTGCTTTATCAATACAAATGCTTAGAACATCTTTCCTTGGTAAGAGGGAATGTGAGCATGGTCTCATACAACAAAATCACTGGCTCAACTGGGTACTATGAGTAGAAAACTCTATCATTACCGGAACAAGATATACCAGGTATGCAATTAAATCTTAACCTTTTACATGCCAATGGGGTGGCAAATTCTGCAGAAGAATTAATAGTTTTTTTAAATACACACAGACTAAAAGTAGCTGTTCATGGTCTCAAAACAGAACACAAGACCTCATTGCAAAGTTCATGAAACATACATTACGAGTCAAAATTTTACACATGAATATAGTTTTGTTATAACAGTTCAAACTCTTAGTAACACAGGAGGGGTTAAGTCTTGTGTCAAGAGGTTCAGAGGTTGCACACTTACTAATATGACTCTCTGCTTCTTCCTTTCAAAGGCTGCACTAAATGCATGGACCATTCTCTCCCCTAGTCCCTGACCGATCTGCTCAGACCAGCGACATCGTAGTCGCCTTCTGCGATGGCTGCTCAGCCAGTAGTCAACTTGTTTCTTTGTGCCTCCAATGTACTTGATTTCAACAGAAACCCATGGTCGCTTGGCTTGTACCAACTGAAGAACCTCGAGAATATGATTGGTCTGAGAATCAAATGTTTGAAAAAGGTAGTAAAATGTAGGAGAATACAATTACCTGCTTACGTTTTTTCATCCTAAACAAAATCATAAGAACTTTTTCTAATAATTGATCAGACTAGTGCTGTAGCCGAACCGCCGAACCGAACCGAAATTCGCGGAACAATGCACTTCCGAACCGAACCGAACGCAAAGGCCTGGTCCAGATGTTTGGCAGAAAAATGTAAACGTTCTCGCAAGCTAATAAACTTGTCATTTTGTATCTAATTTTCATGTCATGACTGCTCATTTTATGTTGACTTTTTTCCCATTTTCCGCCTTTGTGATTTATGCCTATCCAGTGGTGGGCGCAACTTCACTGGCGCCATTTAAATCCCAAATCCTGACCTCTGCTACGTCACGATCGCAAGCCATAAATAAGAATACATGTGCGTGCTAGGCACTGATCAAAACAAGTTCAGCTCAAACCCATTCAACAAAAAAATTAATATTTTAATTGTAACAATATCGGACAAAGTTTACAATATAAATAATATAATAAATATATATTATAGTATGGTATTTATTTATTCAGGAAAAATAGGGATTTTATATTTTTCCTATGGAAAATAAACACTTATAAAAAACAGTAATCGACGAGCCTGATTCGCTATTCAAGATGGCAGCTTTCATGACTCTAACATTAGACAACAACCGTCTTGGAAAACCTTTAAAAAATATCATTTATTGACATATTGAAAACATGATTCTTTTAAAATTGAAAATAAAACATGATTCAAGACGGAAATACGAATGTAAGTAGTACTTTTCTTTACAAATAATTTAAGAGCAGTTTTTTAATATGAAATTTGTGCTGGTCGGAAGCAGTGTTTTCCATCAGGAGTGCTTGTCGGGCCCGGCCGGCTGGCCGGCCCAGTGTCTACCGTCGTGGCTATAACGCTGCTTTCTATTATATTAATGAACCAAGTTCGGGTGAAAAATTGCCGAACTCTGCCAAACCGAACCTAACACGAACATAGCGTCTGACTTACAGCACTAGATCAGACTATGCTTAAAATATATATATATATATATACATTTGGATAGTTTGCTTATCAAAACAAGATATAAAGTTATAACAATCTCCCCCAGGAACGCCTTTTTATAATTGTTTTGTTTTGTTTGTTGAGGGGGGGGGGGGCTTTCCCTTGAACAATCTTTTTTATTGAAACATGTATTAAGAGAGACCATCTGCTTATAAAGACAATTTTTTTATTATTCTATCTTGAGTGGTGTTTGTAGACACTGACAGGTTTGACTGTACTAACCAAGTAAAGCTGAAGGGTAGCTGCTGCTGCTTCCCCAAGATCAGGAATGAGTCTCGTCTTTGTTGTACCAGGTTCTGGGTAGCGAGTAAAGACAATGACATGCTCACTTCTAAAGGACATTCCAGCCCGTCTCCTCTTCCTCAGCCGTTGGATGAAGACAGCTAGGGTCACTACAATGGCCGTAAGAGCCACGGCAGCCACTGAAACCATGATGGTTATATAGCTAGCCAAAGATTTGTCAATGTAGAGTGTAATGTCTGATTAGAGAAATAGAAGAAAAAGGGGAGAAGAAGAAGAAAAGGGGAGAAGAAGAAAAAAAGGTGAGAAGAAGAAGGAAAAAAATGGGGGAAATATTTATTCTTCATATGAACCTGAAAACCATGCTAGATCTATCCTAACTTAGTCTTACAAAAGTTCAGTTCAGTTTTTCTATTCAACAGTGAATAATACATTCATAAAAAGTAAGGACATCAAAACATTGTATAGAAAATTACCCCCCCCCCCCCCCCAAGTCAGTCTAGAGGTCTAGGCCTGCTTCATTCAAGAATATGTTCCACTGAGACTAGCTAGGTGATGGTCTGGCTTCACTGAATCTTAATCACTTTTTTATTTTAGCTAAATGATTCTAGGATCTAATGATGGTACAGTTTAGTACCAGTATATATCTATTTTTATTTTGAAAAATTACTTTGAGTTTGACTTTGCCTGGGACTCAAAGATATAGTCTATATATACAGTAGGGGGCGCTGGTCTGAGAATGAGGATGTCCTCGTCAATGCGGACAAATTGCATCCTTAACAATAGGGATCGTCCGCATTTTCGCAGATGTTTTTTTTTCATCGGCGCTCTGTGGGTTTCGTGTTCCTGATCCGAACGCTGCCGATGCGAAAAACGGATTGCGTGTAATAAAATACCCTAACACTCAGTTCGCCGTCTACTGTTATGGGTATTCCGTCTTCCAGAAAATTTATTGCTCATAACGTGAAAGTCTCTGTAAAAAGTTGCTGTCAAATTACTGCACCAAAAAAATCATCGCAGAATCTTTTTTTCGCAGATCGGAAATAAGAAACATCAGTGAATATGCATATGATCCTTATTCTCGGACCAGCTCCTCCTCCTAACGCAGTTGGTGAGTTACAATAACTCTCACTTCAACTTCACGCTCCAGTCGAGTCGCAACTCGAGTCAGCGTAGCTCAGCAGCTGTGGCTGGAGGCTGTGACTGTGCCGAAAATAAATTAAAATAATTACCCTTAATTAAGGTATGGACTACTTGACTGCTTTAAATCAAAGCCAGGTAGATAAGAAAATTGACACGAAAGGGGTAAGGAATTTATAACGAATTTATATCATGACGATTATTTAAACAATTGATGAAGACTAAGTTTATTTTGGGGTAGACCAGGTCTAGGCCTACTACAGTACTCTCCACGACTCCACGCCGGAGTTAGGGGCTAGAGTCACTAGCTGGCGCCGATCTGCTGTGAAAGGAAACAACAAGACACGACATGCTTTATTCCTCGTTTATCTCACGCAATCATTCACGGCATTTAGTCACATTAAAACATATTAAGATTAGAATACAAGTTTACTTTACCCGCCTCATCAGCTCACACTCTTCAAGTTCAGCAGTCCAAATCTAGTATGTAGTCGAGTCTAGTTGCGATCGAACCATAATTTCTGCTCTGCGTACCGGTACCTGGAACTCTTGATGATGCATGCAATGCAATATGCAATGCAATGGTAATGTGACTGACGTGTATGGTACGTGTTCCTCGATATTCAAGATCACGTGACAAAAACTGCACGTTTCTCTTATTCTTATTTCAAGGCGCTTTACGTATAGTATCCCAGGGACTTTGAAAGTAAGGAGGGTGTGTACGTTTATATGCTGGCTGTATGCTGTATGCTTATCAATGTATGCATGTTGTCAGTGTCAGTGTCTGTATGTAAGTTTTGGTTTGTATTGTGTTCAATCGTTCAGCGCCATGGCCTGGGCAGGAACGAGTGGTTCTGTTACAAAATCACCTTCTGTACGTGTCACATCCGTGACAAACTAGTTAGGATGCATGCACTAAGTCTGACTCATTAGTGATAGGTTAGCTTTATGATGATGCAGTGGAACATAATAAAACTCTAAGCTGGGGATCTATATATCACAAGTGAAAGTAATTGGAAAACATGAAAGTTGATATTATTAATTCCTTAGTGAAGTAGAGAACGGATTAATCCCATAAGGATTCAGGGTACTATCATATGAGTTATCGTGGTTTAGCAAAAGTTTCGAACCGTACCCCTCGTACGGTCGTACCGTACCGCAATATACCGTGACCCCGGTGGGGTCACTCCCCTGCAGAGGGTGACGCGTATGACCGTTACCACAAGTGAAATAACCCCCTTTTGCGGTCAATTTCAAGGACATTTTGTGAAATTTAACCCCCTTTTTTACGTCAAAACAAAGCCAAAATTGTACTCGGGATTGACACTGCTATACTGCATGGCTTCCCATTCCAAAGTTGAAGAAATTAAAATGGCCAGCAGCCAATTGACATCATAAAGCATATAGCCTATATAGACCTGATCAAATGTAGAAAAGTTTGAATCTTTTACTCTCATTGTTAAAGCTTCCCTCAGGAGTAGTCACCGCCCCCCACCCCCCCCCCCCCACCCCCCCCCCCCCACTCCCTATATGGGAAGTTCTGTGAGCTGTCACTCATGTCAGGATGGATGCATGCCATGTCTATATTATGCTGGTAGTGGTAGGGTCTTCTTGCTAATTCCTCGATCGTCATATATGACACACAATTAAATAATTTTGCTGAGAATTAATACTTTTAATTATTCATTTAATTTTGATCTTCCAAAATTTAGAACGGCAAGTGACGCCCTCGATAAATGCTAAACCGTTTTGTAATAAAACTCAAAGAATCAACCACGCCCACTTAGCCTTGGAATAAGACTAGTATAATCAAACGCCGATTTGGTTTGTAAACAAATTGATTCAGTGTTTCGCAATCGCCAACCTCGATGGATGGTGGACCTGACCTCGCGAAATAAACAAAAATAAACAGACTGACATGATCGCTATTTCGTCTTTGATTATCACTTCTCAAGCTCAAAAAGCATCTTCTTGACTGCGCTAGATATTCACACTGAGTTCGCACCCTGTATTATTCATTTTGTAAGTATATTATAACCTTCACTGTTGCAGTCTTCAAACAGAAACTAAAAATGTGACACCTCTCCGACGTCCGACTCCTTCCATCATGTCTATAGATCTAGCATATACTTGTACATGACCATACTAATCAAAACGTTGCAGTTAATCTGTACCTGTATACCGACGCCCAAACCACGCAACTGAACATCCTGAAACAGAAACAGAAACGGAAACAATTTACAATCATGAAATGAAGAAATAGCTGCATAGCTCTGCTAGTATTATACATTGTCTGTTGTTAAGTTTAAGATTGCTTTAAAGACGAAAGTCAAAGTAGGTTCTGTGTTATTTTTTATTTTTTAATATAATTAGACTATTGTAATTAATATTGCAGCCAATTAGTGCATTTATGAGGATGTAAAGAGTGAAAATCTTGTTGCATATCTCATTCATCGTGGTCCAACGGAATCGATATCAGAGACTGAAGCTTTCGGTCTATGTTTTTGTTAGTTGTCAGTCATAACGCGTGGTTCAAGGATTTGAAATTTTATTTATAGAGTAAGACCGCCAAACTTCGGACACTTAAGACAAAACGGGGAAAACATTAAATTCTTTTTTTAATTAGTGAAAGATCAAATATACTATTATTGTGCAAATACTGTTTATGTATGTCATGAAAAGAAAATTAGTAAAGGAAATGGAAAACTAGAATTATTTACTTACCCGCCGAACCTTTTTTCATGCCAAGCTTCGGACGTTCATTTGTAGCGCACGTATAGCGCGCGCGCTAAAGTGCGCATTCATCGGAGGTTTGGAAACCGGATCAAAAATCGTTCGACGGGGGTAAGTTTGACTGCGTTGATTTCATGAAAAAAATATTATTTTCTCGTTTTGGGTACATTTATTTTAGGTAGAACTATCAGAAAGGTGTTTTTCACAACACTCACACAATATTTTGGTGCTAAAATCTTACGAAAGCGCTATTTTTTCGTAGTCAAAATGACACTCAATGTTGCCTGTCCGAAGTTTGGAAGAGCGCCATCTTCTGGTAGGGGTACCTGTATAGTACCCCTAGGTCCGTGGTAACGGCCGCCATTAGAAAAATTTCGCGATAGAGTGAAAAAGTATCTCATAAGCTCCCATAATTTTGGCAGAAACCACCTGAAATATGCCAAGGATTTGTTTTTAATTGATATATTGGAGGCTCTATTAACTCCCCTGTTAAGGAACTGTAAAAATCCAGGTAACCTGAAATCTGTCTCTGAATTCGATGTTTTTTGTGAGTTTTGCAGACGGCAACGTGCCCTAACTTTCTGTACTAACGATGTAGGTTAGTAGTAGTATCAAATGCATGCAAGTTACCCGCCTGAGCTAGGCTCATATTTTGCATTCGAGCCGTTGAAGTAATTTTTGTCCGAAGTTTGGCAATGTCCGAAGTTTGGCGGTTTTACTCTACTCTACTACCAATTTGGGGTTTCAAAAAAAGGTGAAAATTAAGCTAGACTATATTGCAATGGATATTTTCCCTTCTCAACACTTCATCATGTACGACTATGAATGATGAATATATTTATATATGATGTACACTGGGTTAAATCTGAACTCCGGAGAGCTCTGCTACGGCCAAAGGCGGTGGAGCTCCAGATCCCACACCGGGAAACGATTCAAACACCGGTATTGGTCCTTTTTGTTGGGAAATCTAAAAAAAGTAGTAATTATCAAGTTAGACTTACAATGTTTTTCGACTCCTCTGGGCATCCAGTCAACCACTTGAAATCATAATTTGAAGATGTCTTTGGGTTTGATGGAAAAACGGTGATTCCTTGTCCTAAACCAATTTATTCATGTTGTGTATCGTCGATTCAACATTGAAGAGAAAGTATGTATATTCATTATTCATATATGTGCTGCGTAGCTACTGCATGCGTACTTTCTCTTCGCTATGTTGAATCGATGATATACAAATAATGTATGGATGAATCGGTTTCCCGGTGTAGGATCTGGAGCTCCTTGGAGTTAGATAAATCTGTGCTAATACACACAAAACATTGATTCTAAGAATTCCAACAGGTATAGGAGCTTACTGTATATGGAGTGGTAATAATTAGGTTTAATTTCAAATAGCCTTAAATGCATATACACACATGTACTATTAGTGACACCAACTCTAGGCTATAACTGAAATCAGACAAAAGTCATTACTATCCGTAAGAAACCACTGATGATGGATCAGTTTTCACTGTATTATTTTTTTTGAAAGTTTTTAGTAAGTGGAATTCTAATCCTTATCTTTTCTTTTTTTCTGTGTGAAATATGTAGGCAACATTGGTTTGGGTTCTCATGATTTTGTGTTGAGAATGTTCAATGTTATAATAACAATTTTTGATATCCCACTTTTTGTATCATACTGTATACATGTATATACCAGTGTTATTTATAAAGTATTTTTTTAAATATTTAACACTGTAGAGTGATACATGCTGTTAATGATATTAAGTCTGTTCCAAACCTTCTACTATGTAGCTCTCATTATAAATGAAACGGCAAATTGAAAGGAACAGGCCATTTAAATTTGAGCAAATTCTGATTAAAAATAAGAAAGTTAAACATTTTTGAAGTTGCGATCAATCAAACACAAATTGGCAAAACTGTGACGTATCTTGCGAGCTTGATCCTCTCCAATTTGCTCTGTACATAAGATTTCATTTATATTTCCATTTTCTTTGTTATAGATGACAGAATAGATTTTTTTCCATACAGGGGTTGAATAGAAACATATTTGCAATAATTAATTTATGGGGAATATCATGTATCTACATGTATTATGATTGAAAATTTTCTTGAAGGAAAATAAAATTTTACAATTATTTACAATTTCATCACTAATTTAGACTCGATTTCAACACGACAACGATCATTGAGTATTCGAAAATCGCATATATGCTTCCATTACGTTCATTTGAAATTCATGACACCTTAACATGTTCCTCTCATTTTTCTGCTTCTATTAATTAAACCAACTTGATATCAGGGTGGACGTCCCCTTCAAAAAAATGCTATTGCAATAAGGTCCACGTTTAAAACTGTCATGAGAGAATTTGTGTACAAACATGAATTCCAGAGAGTGTTTACAAATGTGGGACTAAGCATAGCCTTGTATCGTCGATAGTAATCTATTTTCCATAGCCTTATAATGCTCAGTGTAATTCATATCCAGGGCTTTTCTTGTCGCTTCGCTAGGTTTGAATAAAAAGCTATCTTATTCGATTCATTTGATTTCCAAGTAACAACAATGGAGAAAGTAGATCAGGAAAAACATGTCCATGGAAAGTTCTGTTCACTAGACCATGTTCGACTAATGCAGGCAGCCTGTAAAGGGTGTAGCCAGAACTGAGAGAAGCTATAGCCAAGCATTGACAGAACCAAAACAGTGCGATTATCACAGGGCAGGGTTGCTCAATTCTTGGCATATAATTTGATTGCAAAGCTGCAGAGCTCTATTGATAGAAGAAATGAAGAACTCTATCTGCAAAGGTAAAGACAAATACTTTACAGGTAACAAGTAAATTATTCATACCCCTTGTAAATTTGATGTTTTTTGTGTTTTTCGTAACTCAAGAAAGGTTGACTGTTTGAATTAGGGCCTTCGTTCTAGACTTTTACATGTAACCTTTAATATACAATTTCTCAATAAACATTAATCAGGATAACATTTTTTACATACATAAAACAATTGCAAAAATTGGTTCAGGGTATGAATAATTTAGTTGTGAACTGTATACAATGTACACTGGATAGTGTATACTGTACTTCTGGAATGGATTGCACAAAGAAGGTGTCTGTGCATTAAAATAACAGCCATACCGAAGTTATTTACAGCCTTTTCACACACAGCTAAAATTCATCGTATCTAGAGATGATTAGAATCACTCAACAGTTTTAAACATGTTTATAGACATAATTTCCCAGTGTGAACATCGTTTATACGATGTTGGGATAGATACGAAGTCGCGATGCATATACGCCCCGAAAAGCAGGCTGCAGATACGAAGTTCGTATCTAGTGAGCTTGAGATTTTGTGTGTGAAAGGTTATTCGTGTTTAAACGTGTTTCAGACGTGTTTTAACGGTGCCAGGTAAAAATGTCAGAGGTAAAAATGTCAGAGGAAAAAATGTCAGAGGTAAAAATGTTAGAGGTAAAAATGTCAGAGGTAAAAATGTCAGAGGTAAAAATGTCAGAGGTAAAAATGTCAGAGGAAAAAATGTCAGAGGTAAAAATGTCAGAGGAAAAAATGTTAGAGGTAAAAATGTCAGAGGTAAAAATGTCAGAGGTAAAAATGTCAGAGGAAAAAATGTTAGAGGTAAAAATGTCAGAGGTAAAAATGTCAGAGGTAAAAATGTCAGAGGTAAAAATGTCAGAGGTAAAAATGTCAGAGGTAAAAATATCAGAGGTAAAAATGTACAAGCAAAAAAAAATGAGTGCCGTTTTAATATCTCAGCACTTTTATCACACAGAATGTCGAGACGTAGAGCTACTGCATGGGCTTGTCTATTATATTCCTTTCTTCAATAATGTAAATTGTATAAATGGCTGTTTGTTGTATTTCGTACATGTCCTGAGGATAATACAATGTGGAAAATAGATTTTGAAATTTATTTTTTTGTGATCAGGCTTGCATATAATTATATTATGTATGAATGTCTAACATTTTTTGATATTTTGAATTGGTTGATGTGTTAATGTTTGTGAAACGGACCGGTTTGGCCTGTGGCAGCCTACAACCTAGCCCGTGTAACGTCCCAGAGACGAACAAAGTCCAAACGAAGAAATGAAAGTTCTCGACAAAAGTCAAGTGTTAAAGTGAGTAGTGCATTTAGTACAAATAATTACATATAATCACGAGGAATCACGAAAACACGAAAATTTTTATCAAAATGATAAAAACTTTGGCCCAGTCTTGGTAAAGTCACAAGCACTGTACACAGAAAGATATTGATATGGGACTACACAAACATATGGCAAATCAAATCAGGCCTCATTTTAAAGCCGTTACTTGTCATACCTGGGATATGAAGTCATTTGAAATAGATTTTCAGGGAATAACTTTTTTCTTTGATGTTCTTCCACACTTGCATAACAAGAATGATAACAAACGCTCACAAATTATTGTTCACCTTTCCCCAGAACTCAACCTTCTCTTTAATTGATGTAACATGGTCGGCTTTCTGCTTTTTATCGGAGTAACAAAGCTGCTTATTGATTTTCTCCCAGACTATTTTATACCGCAATAGTAATCGACAATATTTTATTGGAACGCGCGCACTTCGGGAATGTGATGGGTTAGCATTGATAACATGGCTTTCTGCTTTGTTTCAGAGTATCAAAATACCAAGCCCACAAGAAAGTGGAATTGTCGGAAATATGCATTTATTGGAAATTACATATAATAGTAGTAATTGCCACGCAGTTAAAATGTCCAACAATCTTCAAAAGTGAAGGAGAAGTGGGGGGCGGGGGGGGGGGGGGAGGTTCATAGATATCTGATCCTATTTCGGGGGCTGTACTGACTTTTATTTTTATTTAATAATTACACCATGGAGCGACAACTCAGCCTATAAAACATGGCCAAACTTCTCGATTTTAGAAATCTTTTTCCCCAGAAGTTTGCTCAGTGTACTAGTACCATTTGCTTTTACAAAAGCATAATATACCAGTATATAAATATTGAATAAGGCAGACTAATGGGCAGGGCTCAAATTAATTTTTTGTCCACGGGGGCTCTTCCCCCAAAAAAGAGCCCCCGTGAGCCTTCTCACGGGGGCTCTTTTAGTACTGACGGGGGCTCTTTTTTATACAAATTTCCATTGAATTGGTACCTATGATACTCCAGAATTCTTTGCTATTTCATTATAATCAGCATTTTGCCTCTTACAAATTTACAAGCTACATGTACATAGCTGTTACTGACTTTCTTCTCGTTCTGCACATTACTTCCTCCTCATTATTCTGAGCAACCTTTACATTCTTTCTTTACTGAGCGATTCTGTTTTTGGTGCTTTTTTGTACAGGCGCGGATCCACGGGCCGATTGTAACGGCCCGCCCCCCTAGCCTCCCAAACCGGTAAAAAAGTAGGATAATAACGTATATTTAACTTAACAACCCCCTCCCCCTGACCTGCCAGTGACGTAAATGCGGCATCAAAATATTTGTGCTTCTCTGACCGTAATTAAATGCCTAAAACC